CTGGCGAAATTAATTTACTCCTGTATAATTCACTCTATTGGAGAAATTAATTTACATCTGTATAATTTACACTGCTGGAAAAACTAATTTACACCTGCATTATTTACACTGCTGGGAAAATCAAATTACACTGCTGGAGAAATTAATTTATGCATTGTGTTCAAAATGATCTTCAATAGAAAATTGGCTCATATTAAACAAGAAGAATTATTTAGAAATATTTTTCTCATGTTTACATGAACCATTATGCTATTCTAACACACTTTTTTCGAATTTTCTTACTTAGACTTCAACTTTTTATGCCCTTTTTGACAGCGAATATTTAATTATAAGAGATGATAGGAAATTATCAAATACTTGCAATTTCGTTAAGCGTTTAATGCTTAGTTATTTCCTCTAAGAAATTAAGTTCATCGAAAATATGCTTCCTTCCTTTGAAATAACATAACTGCTTCAAGAATATACATTCGCATGTGAAATTGTGACCAAAGTCATAAATTATGTATTATTCATAACGGCTATGTTAAATATTAGTTATACGTGACTCTAGACACGGAATTTTGGTTAACTGACAGTCATTTGACGGACCTGCGGAGATTTGTACCCATCAAATTCTTTTTTCAACTGGTTTTTTTTAATTTTTTTAATAACCGTCGGTGAACAGCCGACTTAATGTTTTGGGTTTAAGACTACTACTGTTCAACTCCGTAATTTTGAACCCAATCCAGAAGACAAAAGTAATTCTGGATCAAGTATTACTAGAAATTAGTCTGCGTAGAGGACTTTTTTGATGGAACTAACCCTCATTTGCGTTGCATGGAGAGGAAAATCGCGAAAACCTCCTACGGTAAGTCTGACGAAAAGTGGACTCTAACCCTTGATCCATCTATCACTGAGGATATTTTACACCAGCACTGTGGTCGGCGCGATCTAGGGGTGGAATTCGTATCGACAAGCACTCGCTGGGATTCGAACCCGGCTCACCTCGTTGGATGACGAACGCTCTATCCCCTGACCCATCACGGCTTCTTACTCTCCTTTGTTTGCTCCCCCCTTTTCATTTTTTATTTGTGGAGAACATCTTTTCTAGCTATGAATGTTAGGCAATTTTTCTGATGCCTTTTTTGACTCTGAATTGAATGTGATTAATCTCAAGAACCTATAAGAGGCTATAGGCTATAAGCGTCTTAATTGCTATGCACAAAAAGTACAATTTACGTACAATTGTTGTAAGTAAAGTTGTTTGTACGTAAAATCGTTGTATAAAAGTATAATTTCATGTACAAAAAGTACAATTTTGTACACGTACTTCTTTACGTTTTTTGCCAATTCTATCTAGACAAGAATTAAATTTAAGCGACTCAGGCCCAGGAGGCTAATACGAAAATTAGTTATGTTAGAATCCTTTTCACATAGTACTAAACGAACATAAAAAGTAGTTGCCTAAAATCGCGACAAACTACTATTTTTTTGCATCGCACTATTCACTATATTACTTTTAAGAAAAAAGTAGATCACAATACTACAAACTACGAAAAAAATAGCGACTACAGTTGTTTCACTACTTATAGTGCATTACTTATGACAACTGTATTAAGTGTATAACTGTGTCAGAAATTTATAAATCAGTAAATGTTACTTTATATATATATATATATATAAATATTTAAATTAAGTAATTTAAAATTACCATGATCGAGAAGTGGCACCACAGTGGCCGTTCCCCCAAGGAGCAGAAAGAGTAACATGTTTTTTTCTCTCTCTCTCTCTCTTGCTTATCAAAGAAAAGCCCGACGTTTAATAAAATTCATTGATTTCTTATTGGAATTTAAAAATAAAGCAAACTGATTAGCTCCTAAATCACTCTGGGAACAAAAACACATGATGCGAGTTCTAGAAAGACAAATAGATATAAGTTACATGCCAGTCAATGTTTCAGGTTGGAAAATCATGCTTTTATACCGATTGGTGAAAACGAATACTTAGATAACAAAATTATTTTCAAATTCATATTACAAAATTCATTTTACCAATCAAGCGATCAAAACTAAGCTCATAAATAGACTATAGATAAAAAAAATTGCTATTTCAGTAGCAATAAAAATAATATTTTAATTGTTTATTTATTTTATTTGTTTACTTATTTTAATTATTTATTTATTTATTATTCGCATCTGGGAAAATGTTTATTTCAAAATAAAGGTGCCTACTGATAAATGCTTATCTTTCTTTACAAATGATTATATTCTATTACTTTGCATAAGTAAACACTTTAAAAATTTAACACCTGTTGCTTTTATAACTATCAATGTTTTGGGATCGTATAAAATATCGAATTAAGATTTGCAATCATCGCTGTGAAAAAACAAAATGGCAGCCGTTAAAATATTGGAGGCTTTTACTCTTATTTTCTTGAGCGTCAGTCTATAATAGCCCCTTTAGGTAAGTGAATTTTAAACTGGCTTTAAAGAGCCTTGGTGATTCAGGGGATAGAGCGTTTGCCTTCCAATGAGATAACCCGGGTTCGATTCCCAGTGATGGCTGGTTTATACGAATTCAGAATCCAGCTCGCATCGACCACAGTGCTGACATAAGATGTTCTCTGCAGTAGACAGATCATGGGTTAGAATCCCCTTGCAGTCGAGCTAACCAGGGAGGTTTTCGTGGTTTTTCACGCCCTGTAAGGCAAATGCGAGTTACTTCTATCAAAAAGTCCTCCACGAAGAGAAATTTCTCCCAATACTTAATCCAGGAGTTCCCTTGTCTTTTAGTTTAGGTTCAAAATTACAAGGCTACGAAGTTGAACATTAGCAAACGTAAATCCAAAAATTGGGTCGGCTATTCAACGATGGTTATAAGAAAATAATAAGGAAAACTATGTTAGTATAAAAATTATTCATAGAGTCAATGCAGAAAAATGATTTTTAAACTTCCAAAATCATGAAAAATCACTAACAATAATGAAAATATAATAATTTTGAATTAGCCTCAATATAATTGTATAACATTTTCTCTGAATAATCTATAATATTGTTTTAATGATTCATTTTAAATTATTTTTCATATTTTCTTTTCACTAAAAGACATCAATGGACAGTAATCATGAGCGATTTAATTTCTTTGTGTGTGTTTTTGCGATTTTTTCCGACTTTCGATCACTGTATAGCTCGTTGTATATTCACAAATATGAAGAAGAGGAAGGAAAAAGTTACTTAAAGGAAAGAAAAAACTGGTTTATAATTATTCGAAGTCAAGTAAAATTAGACTTTTTCAGCCGCAAAATTAATACCAAAGATTTTTTCTCGTGGAAAACTTTTTTACGCTATTATAAATTATACCTGAAAACCTCCCTACTCTCCATTTTATATATTTTTTAAAACCGTCGTTGAACAGCCGACCCAATTTTTGGGTTTACGACTACTAATGTTCAACTCCATAGCCTTGTAATTTTGAACCCAATCCAGAAGACAAGGGAACTCCTGGATCAAGTATTGCGGAAAATTTGCCTTCGCGGAGGACTTTGTGATGGAACTAACCCGTATTTGTGTTAAATGGAGAGGAAGACCACGAGAACCTACCACGGCTAGCCTGACGGCAAAGGGACTCTAACCCATGATCCGTCTATTACTGATCATATTTCACGTCACCACTGTGGTCGGTGCAAGCAGGAAGCAGATTCTTATCGACCAGCCATCGGTGGGATTCGAACCCGGTTCATCTCATTGGAAGGCGAAAGCTCTATCCCCTGATCCATCACGGCTCCCTACTCTCCTTTGTATGTTTTGTATTTTTTTTTTTTTTTTTGAAGGGAACATCTCTTCTAGATAAGAAATATCTCTTCTGGTGCGTTTTTTGAAGCTGAATTGAAGGTGATTAATCTCAAGAACCTATAAGAGACTAGAAGCTATAAGCGTCTTAATTTTTATGTACAAAAAGTACAATTTCATGTACAAACGATTTCCCGTACAATTGCTGTACGTGAAGTTGCTTGAACGTAAAATTGTTTGTACGCAAAATTGTTGTAAAAAGTAAAATTTTACGCACAACTTTACGTACAAGAAGTACAATTTTGTTCTTGTACTTTTTTACGCTTTTTAACGATGCTATCTAGACAAGAATTAAATTTAAGCGACTGAGGCCCATGAGGCCTATAATCGAGAAAATTGATGACCTTTGATTGACGAAGCGACAGAGACCCCGAACAGCACAAGAGGCCTAGCAGCTCGCAGGACCACGAATCGAGCACAACAAAAAAGCACCACCAAACATCAAACCAGCAAAAAAATAAATAAAGAAAAAGTGAGATGTTGCCAGAGTCCACACAGGACGGCGGCTTTAAATCAGCAGAAGGCGGCAGGCCCGACAGCCGTAAGCGTCCGCCACACTGCGACCCACCGAGCCGCCCTCAGACAGGAAAGCCTTTATTTGTAAATGCATAAACAATGCTATCTAGGCAAATTAAACATTGTTTCATGCGCATTTTTCTCGATGAATCGAAAGAGACTAGATAACCGTCAATAGAGCAATAATTCAAAAGTTGCACAAGTTGCATAAGTATTTCAACTTAAATTTGTGGAGTGTAATAAAAACTATGTTAAAATTAGGGCAAAATTATGAGTATTTAATGTAATAATTTTAAACTGTACTTCAACAAAAAAATCAAAAATGAAATCCTTTTATTTCCTAATTTGGTAAAAAATAATCGGCAATATAACCGTAGCTTTTAGTATTAAGTAAATTATTATTTTTCATATTTTCCCAAGAAGTCTTGTGTAACGATGTAGCTTTCCTTGGAAATTATAATTGCCATCTTAAAACTCACATAAATGCACTAAATATGAGTAAAAAAATCTTATCGAGATTTCCACCATTTGTATAATTTTGAACATGTTTCGACTATGTACCCTTTCATTTAAAAGTAAAGTTTTTTTTATGCATGTTTATCTGTTTTAAGTTAGAATTATATGCCTTTCTTTGAATAAATAAGACAATTGGAAATGTAACACATGTTACTTTATTGCTATCAGTGTTTTATCGTGGTATAAAGTACCAGATTTAAGGTTCTCAATCACTGCTAAACTCACCAGCAAAATGGCAGCTTTTCAATTATTGGGAGTTTTTTTCTTGTGCCTTGGCATCGGCCTCAGTCATCCATTAGGTAAGAGTTATTATTAAGTATAATATTAAATATATCAAAAATATAAAATCAAGAAGTATAATACCAAAAATTATTAAGTATAATATTGATGTTTTAAAGACGACACTGAAAGAAAAGCAAAATAAAATTACTTTCATACAGTTAAATTCAATTGCTAGACAGTGCTTTAAGGTTTATACCATTTAAAGAATCATTAGTCTAAAATATCTTTAACTTATTTTTAAGTTTTACGATAGTTCCATTTAAAGAATTCTTACAACCGCTAATTGTTACAATACGACGGCTGAAATTTGCAATATTTAGCATCCATAACATTCAACGACTTAAATTTATAATATTTAACAAACAGTTTACAATATTTAAAGAATAATTAGTCTCAAATATGCTCGACGAAAAAAAAACTTATGAGCTTGTTTTTAAACTTGACAGTTTATTTCATATTTTATAACCGTCGTTGAACAGTCGGCCCAATTTTGGGGTTTGCGACAACTAATGTTCAACTCCGTAGCCTTGTAATTTTGAACCAATCCAGAAGGCAAGGAAACTCCTAGATCAGTACCCGCAGAGGTGTGATTTGTTATGGGAACACGGAGGGCTTTGAGACTCGACAGATTTAACGTACATCAGTCACCATTTAATACACGGGGAGTCTTCGGCCTGCGAGGATCGTACTCGCAACTTCTTGAACATGGGCCCAGTGCCCTACCAACCAGGCTTTCCCGGGCCTGACAATTTATTTTGTAAGAAATAAAAATTTGACTTGTATGATATAGAGGGGAGTGTTGCATCTTGGGAAAATTTCTAGGAGCATAATGTCCGCAATTGCATTAGTTTTATTTCTAAATATGGTCTGAACCAATTGATGACGTCATAGCAAGACTTAGCATTTGAAGCGTCAATTGAATATCTGGATTAGGAAAAGAAAATTTAACCACTTAAAAGTTAATTTTTTCATTTTCTGAAAATAAATTAGTAAAAGTATTTAACTGAATTTTACTTGTTTCTAGAAGGGGAAGATTTTTAAATATATAAGTTGCTTAAAAATGGCAACTTACTTAGAGTAACAACAACTTCGATTTTATTCAAAACTTGTAATGAACGGTAAGACAAGTTACATATTAAGTACGTGTCACAAATTACAACATGCATACTTTTTAGTATTTTCGTTATCTATTGATAATAGAGATGTGTTCTAATTTGTCTAATTTGTCATAATCTTTTAAACATAATAATAAATATTAAAATATTATACTTTCTAAGTAATTTTTTTTTATGTTTTATTATAATATTCTAATTATGCATTTAAAATACATAATATGAATTTAGAATGTTATTAACTTGGTCTATGGCATGCACCTTCTATGCATGCATTTTGATTAAATTTTTTTTTCTGAAACAGCTAGCTTTTATGTATAATGTAGAAATAAAATTGTGTAGTTTAAATATTTTTAAGTGGCAAAATATTTTTAATGGCATAAAAACCATTTATTCGATGAAATTTACTTTTAAATTTTATACTTTTTACTACATGTGTAGTAATGAGAACTATTTCTAAAAACAGAATTTCCGGTAAATGGTTACCAGAATTCTGTTCTATGAAAGAAAAAATTACCAAATGAATGGTTTAAATACTCACATTTGATATTTAAACCAGAATCTTGTTTTTACTAAAACAGAAATATCATTAGCACACAGGTAACTGTGTGGTTCTGTTGTTTGCCTTTATTTTATTATTTTCAATTATTATTTTTTTTGCTCCATTGTGTTATTCGTCACAATTTCTGTATTATTTTATTGCTCCCACTTTTCCTTTCCAGTAAATTCTGTTATTTTCTCACAATGCCGATAAAGCTGATGTTACACTGACAAATAAATTTACCAAAGCAATTCATGTGAAACTTTATTTTCTATTCACCATTTTGTCTTTACTTGCAGATGACCTAGACAACATTGGCGATGACGAATACATTCCGATGGAAAATCCAGATCTTCTTGGCGGGGATATGTCCGGATTTGAAGACACGGTATCTGAATTCAAATTTCTTTTCTGAAATTTACGAATAAACTTTTTATTTCAACAAAAAAATTTAAGAAACTGATCTGCCCTGATAGCAAAATAAGGTTCATTTTCCCTAAGCAAAACCTTTTAATGTAAAGCTAAGAAGGTTTTTTATGCGGTTTACGTGTAAACCTTCAAATCTTAAAACGAGATTTGCGACAATCTGCTCTATTCTACGCACATTACCCTAATTCAAAACCTTGGAAAACAACCTTCTGTATAAGAACCTGAAAATCGAAATTGTCTAAGGGTTTTCAAGCGTAAAAAAATCTCTAAATAACGCTAGTCTCAAGGTGAAAATAATCTTAAATCCAGGTAACTATAAGGTTTCTTTTCACAACGTCTTGTATGCTCAGCTAAAATCCACCTTGTCATGAAATTTTAATGGACAATTGGGTATAATATGAAAAAAACACAACTACTTCGATTTAGTAGGAACAACATATGATGCAATGCTAAACGAATGGAATTTAGTTGTTGTTTATTTAGATATTGTTATTAGTAGTTGTTGTTATTTGTTTTAGTTGTTTATTTAGTTGTATTTAGTTTCAATAACTTTTCTTTATTATGCAATAAAATCTGGCGAGCAGCTATTTAAACGATCGAACACTTCGTTTGTTTACTTGTGACTTGAAGTTAGGCTCGCAGAAAATGCCGTTCATGGGTTCAATTTAGTAGGAATAGCACAACCTGTGACGTAGGCAATAGTATACCCAATTGAAATTGATCCTATCTCTAGTGTGACGTCATCTAAAAAGTCATTATCGACTTAAATGACCATTCTACCTAAGTGACGATACTTCTTAAAAAAGCTTTGAAACTTATTCAGAACAGGATGAAATAAAGCTTTAAAGTTGAGGATGAAAGGTTTGAAACTGCAATATTTTTGCATTATTGAAAAAAGGTTTTTAATACGAACATTTTCGTGACAGAAAGAAGAAAATTGCGATACAAAGTTGGCGTCGTAAGGTTACATGCTTTCTGGGTTACACTTAAATATGAAAATTAGGAATATTCTTCAAAATTATTTCCATTTGCATGAAATTTAAGTTCAAAATTTGAAAATTCTTATTAAAGTTTCGGTTGCTATAAAAACGTGTTGGTCGCTTTTCGCCAAAAAAAGTAATAACGCAAAAGATTTATTTGCCATTTTAAATTCTTATTTTGGAATAATTAATTTCAATTAAGTATGTTGACAGGACACTGTTTCACATTACCTGCGAACTTTTAATCCTTTCGAAAATGATTCTTCCGAGTGGCTGGAAGATGGAAATTGAATTACAATTTTAGGCAGAAACATACGTAATGTTTTGAAAAAGATAAATCATAATGGTATCATATATTTTATTTCATTTTATATTTTATAACCTACGTTGAACAGCCCACCCAATTTTTGGGTTAGCGACTACAAATGTTCAAAGCAGTAACCTTGTCATTTTGAACCCAATCCAGAAGACAAGGGAGCTCCTGATTCAAGTATTGGGCAAAATTTACCTTCGCGGAGGAACTTCATTTCTTGTACCTGGCAACTTTGATGCATAATTAGTTTGTTTATGTTTCACATGGCTTCGTGTCTGTCTTTGTGTTGAGTCACTGTGTAAATAAATAGTGAAAAAATTAAAATGTTTGAGGAAGAATCTTTGTCAAAGAATTTAGAATGTGTCACTTAAGAGTATTGATACTTGACGGGCTTGGCTTACTCGAAATGGAATGGAAGGAGCAGTTGCTAACGTAAAGAAAAGCCGTGTTTCAACTACTAATCAGGATTGAGTTACACACTTTACTGAACTTCATATCATTTTTCTAACTAATAAGAATGTACCGAAAAAAATGTTTTTAGACAATTATCTCTTCATGTCAACCCAATCTTGTTATATTATCTTGTGTATCATTATCTTGTTGTATCATTATCTTGCTATATCAACACATATATAATGTTAAAGAGAGGAAAGATAAAATAATTAAGAAGTTTTTAAGAGCCACGTTTTTCAAAAGAACTAAGAAGAAAAAATAATTTCATTTTTTTATTTTTAAACGAAAAACATGGAGGTATTTTAAAGAGCATAAAGGTTTATTTTGCAAGTGATGCGCTTCATATTTTTTTGTTGCTATAGTTCTGATAAAAAAATATGTTTTAAATATTAAATATTCACTGAATACATTTGTTAAATGAAATTTAGGACCGAAATGCTGTTCCAACAGACACAATGTTGTGGCCAGGTGGTGTTATCCCTTACGTTACAGATCCTGGACTAAATGCTACAGTATGTAAGTAACGTACTGTTATTCAGATTTTTTGATCTACTGATCGACTTAAAGTTTTAAAACATTTAAAATAACATGATAAAACCTTTTAAAATTAGGCAGTTAATATTTCTATTAAGGCATTTGAATTTATGTAGATTGTTTTTATATTTATAAGCTTTGCGAAAAAAAAGAATTTGGTGATTTCACGTATTCTTTTAAGATATTTTTAAATAAAATCGTTTAATGTTTTTAGCAAATTCGAATTATCGGCATCGGATGAATATAAATAGAATACAATATATTTACTGTTTGTATAAATTTTATAAATATTGTATGATGTAAATGATTAAAAAAATGCGTATGCTACCAAAGAATAAATCGTCATAAAAATACAAGGGAACCTCATTGCCTGCTTGTTTTTTTCGCCAAACCTTGAAGTTGCGTTTGTTGTCCCTTATGGTTTTATTCACATCACTTGCTGGTTTTCTTTCGTCTAGTTTTGAATGAATTGTAGTATTCTTTTCTAATAGAGTTTTAAAATTATGCATCCCATGATTTACAATTTTAAATTTCAGAGATTGGAGACACAGCAAATTTAAATCTTTTATTTAAACCTGAACTCGTTAAATAAATAAAAAAGAGAGAAAAGGGTTAGAAAATGTTAAAAAAAAAAAAAGAAAACATATAACTTTTTAAACTTATAGTATTTTTATTTTATTTTATAACCGTCGTTAAAAAGCCGACCCAATTTTATGGGTTTACGACTATTAATGTCCAACTCCGTACCGTTGTAATTTCGACCCCAACCCTTAAAACAAGGAAACTCCTGGATCGAGTATTGGTAGAAATTTGCCTTCGTGGAGGACTTTTTGATGGAACTAATCCCCATTTTCGTTACATGGAGAGGAAGACCACGAGAACCTCCCACAGTTAGCCTCACGGCAAGGGAACTCTAATTCATGATTCATCTGCCACTGAGGATATGTCACTGTGGTCGATGCCAGCCGGATGCTGAATTCGTATCGACTGGGATTCGAACCCGTTTTGCCTCATTGGAAGGTGGCCGCTGTATCCCCTGAGCCATCACTGCTCACAAACTTATAGTATTGTCATAACACTTAATATTCTTATGCTTATTTTAGCATGACATATACACCCACTCAACACAAAATAATATGAAGTACTTTTTTATACGCTATTATGTGGGGAGTGGGTGTATAAGTTGTGCTTAGTTTAGCATTTCAATAATAAAGTAGACAAAATTAGAAGTAGTGATCCAAGACTAAAGCCAAAATTTATGTTGAACAGAATGGCTACATCATTCAACATTAATATCATTAAAGTGGGCTATCTTAAAAATTTATGAGATTTCCCAGCACTCTTAAATTCTCCGACACAGTTAGGAAACACAGTAGTGTAAGAAGTAAAGAATGTCATTTAAAAAATTAAATAATTAACTTTTTCCATAGTATTTCTGGACGATCCTCGTTCTGTTCTTCTGCAGTTTCCTAAAAAATCTTCAGTAAAATTATAAATATCATAAAAACTAACAAAAATAACTGAAAAAAAAATTTATGTAACTCGCGTAACTTAATGAGCATAATTAAAACAAAATTAGAACACAGTTTAGTTGATTATGTGAACAGCTCTTCGTTGCCAACGTGTGAAGAGAAATTTCATAAGTTTTGTGACCACGATGGAAGTTGTTATTGTCCTCACGTAATAACTTCACGAGATGTAGCAAAATACCCAAAAAAGTAAATTAAACATTAAGAGGTCCACATTTTCGATCGCTCTAGTGCCTAAACTACTAGAACCCTATTTTTCAAATTGCGGTAACCCCTATGTTTTGTGAGTTGAGAATTCAAATTCTTGAAAAAATGATGTGTTTATTCATATAAAATACATTTTTGTGTCTGATTTTTCCTAATCTTCTGTAATTAATTTGCATATTTAAGGAGAGGCTTTCGAGCCAGTACGTCCTTAATACGTTATATTCCGTCATTGGATAAAAAATTTCCTTGGGTGTACACTTTTTCGAGCACTGCTTCGTTTAAATTAATGAATTAGAATCCCTTGATATTTTATTAATTTACATTTATACACTGATACTATTTTATTAATATACATTTATAATTACATTTTTATAAATACATTTATTAATACAATTATAATACTTTGATTCTTATAATTATTATAACTAAATTATTTATTACTATTAATACTAATTTTTTTTAAAAAACTATATAATTATTGTATAATGCAATATTTAATATAATTATTATATTATATAATGTTTAATATAATTATTTATTTATTATCACTTTTTAGTTCCCTGGGTCTTACAAAAGGCTTTCGATGCTTACGCAAAGAGTACCTGCATTCGATTTGTGCCGAGAACCAATGAGAAAGACTATGTTCGAATTTTCTCAGGTCAAGGGTAAGTTGGTAGATCAGCAAATACAGTATAAATTAAATCAACCGGCAGTAAATACAGTATAATTTAAATCGAACGTGTCCGACTGGCTGTGTTCAGGCTGTGTCTGACTGTGGTGGCTGGTTTGAATTCCGCTATAGGCATGAAAGCCTGTCTCTCCGTATTTGTACTTAAATAAATTTAAAGTATGCATAAAATTTTTTGAAAAATTTTACAAATATCAGTATGCACTTGTAAACAGTAGCAAATAATAAAGTCCTTTTTGTTCATCAGATCGAGCACAGTAATAGATTTGTCCGAAAGAAAAACATTATTTTGTTTAAATATTGAATCATCAATAAACATAGATTTATTAGATGTTAACATAGAAATATATATGTTACCATGAATGACCAAAATCAAGAGAATGTCGACTTTCACAGGTGAATGTCAACAATCGAATAGTCGCTTTGGTGAATGTCCGAAATATTTGTTATATCCGAATTGATATTAATTTATTCATTGATATTATTATACTTATTCGTTATTTTAATACCTGTTGAAGATAGATTGGGACAAACATCAGTGTTCGGAATACCAGTTAAATGTATACCAGGCAGTGGCATTGAATCTTAAAAAACATTAATGTAGGGTTTAGTGGGCAAATGTATACCGGGCAGTGGCACTTAAACTAGACCTACTATATATATCGGACATTTACCAAAGAGACTATGTGATTGTCAACATTCACCGGTGGAAGTCAACATCAACCCATTTCGGTCAATCACCGCAACATATCTAATAGGTAACAAAATGTAGAATGGTTTACTCATTGAAAATTCTATTATTTTGTCTTAAAGATGCTACTCAAATGTTGGAAAAACAGGCGGTGCTCAACCTCTATCCTTGGGACTCTTCTGTGGATGGGAAGCAGTAATTGTTCACGAGCTCGGACATGCCGTAGGGTTCTACCACGAACAGAACAGATCTGACAGAGATAAATACATCAGGATCTTGTGGGATAATATTAAACCAGGTAATTTATTTCAATAACTGAATCAAAAGTAATGGTAATTTCTATTATCTATAAAAAGAAACAATACGTAAGTACCTGGAAAGATTCATTGTAAATGATTCGGCAATATTTCAGATACTACTCAGCATAAAAAACGACTGAAATTGCAATACTTATCGTACCTTAGGATAAGTTTCTGCTGTCCAGTATCATACTCACAAGGAGTTAGGAATTAGAACCAGATAGTCCAAGCTGTCTGCATGTCTTTGACGAATGTCCGGACAAGAATTTCCTCAAATGCCAGAACAGGTGTAAATCACCGTAGCAAATTCGGTATTGTAAGGTGGGTGGTCATACAACTCCAAGTCAAAATGTATGGTAGTTCATGAAAAGCTAAACACAGGTGGCGCTAGGCGTTAATATTCATTTTAAGACTTCTAGGTTACTATTTTCGATTTATTTTTACGCCTAAGTTTGAAAAAGCGCACCAGCCAATCCTTACTGCAGCAGATTTTTTGTACAATTTATAGTAAGCGAACTTTGATGCAGAGCAACAGACCTGCTCTTCATTCAGAAGTTGCACCTTCCATTTCTATTCTTGCTCCAGAAACATTCTTGTCCTCATTCTCACAAACGAAGCATCTCCTTTTGACTATAATAATGAACACCAAACACCTATCCCGTTCTATAACAATTATAATTATTGAGTTGAGAAATAGCTGATATATTACTAAATCATTGACGAATAAAATCATCGCCAAGTCGAAATAAAAAATAATAATACAACCCAGGGTGCGTAGCCAAATTTTGTAACAAAAAATAAGCACCTTTTAAATACTTTTCAAGCACTTCAAAAAATATTTTAAGCACTTTAAAAAGATATTATAATTAGGATATGTGCACTAATAATTTTTTTCCCTTCGTATTGTTGAAAGTTCTTCAGTTATATGTATGTTAAGAAAGTGCTAAATAGTTCTTAAAGTTACATGATCATAATAAAATAACTAGTTTCTGGCAAAGAATGTTTTTCGTGATTATATTAGCCACCAAAAATACAATTTATGCACAATTTTAAATACATTCAATATTGAGTGGATCATTAAATTTTTTAAATTTGTAATTACTTTACACAATTATGTAAAAAACATTTTATTCCAAGTTATAAATAATTAATTTAACTATTACTTAAAAAGATTATCTCGCTTGCAAAATGCAGCAGAGCTGTTCATGAGAATTCACGAATCCTTCCCACCGAATCCAGCTCAGTACTCGAACCCGCAAGTACGTATTTCATAAAATGATTGGCGCTTTCAGACGCTACGGACAGATGGTATGTCGAAATAGATTGTGGTTGAATGAATTATAAAAGCGTTAAATAGAACAATGTGAAAATCACGCTTTTTGCGTAATTCGAGGCATTCGATATCGTAAAGAAAGAAAAAAATATCATTTTGGAAGAGGGAAAATTAAGCACTTTTTAAAAACATCCAATGAAAAAAGCACCTTTAAGTGCTTTTTAAAAACGAAAGTCGAAAATAAGTACCTTTAAGCACTTTTTAAAAACGCTACGCACCCTGCAACCCTACAGCAGAACATCTTTTACAGTGTGGTGGCGTACACGCAATGAAAAGTAAATTAAGTTGGGATGTTTTCTTTTTAATTGTAAAATGTGCTCATTTGATAAAATCTCTGGACGATCTGATATGGGTAATCAAATAATTATTTCATATAACTTTTGCGGTTGATCTTTCGCTTTTACACATCGGGAAAAACTTATTTTATGGATGACTCCTATGCATTCAAAAGTTTTCTTTATTGCTTTTATATTTCCGAAACCACATTACGCTTGAAAATTATTATTTTTGGAAGTGTAAACGTGTAATAAGTAGATTTCACAATTTTATCTCATTATGTATTTATTTCTGACATAGGCAAAAATATATTTTGGTATTTTTTAATTGTAAAAAAAAATAGTCTAATAGTTACTGAAAAAATCTGTTAAATGAATGTAATTATATTGCTTTCAAAATATAAAATCCAAAAACCGTAGTTTCAAAACTTTTTTTTTCCATTCATATTCAAAAATTTTACAATAATTGATTTTGAAAATTAAAGAAATTTTAATAATGAATAACTGTTTCTGATAGATTTAAATAGCAGCAAATAAGTTCAAATTTGAAAAACTGTTGCTTGGAAGCGTTTTATTACAATAAATTATTTAAATGCTAAATATAATATTTTCACTTATTTTAGCCTAAATTAATACAAAATAATGAAAAAGTTTCAAAAAAATATGTTTTATAAAATACTGCATCAATACTTAAAGAAGATTAAGTTGTTGATTTTTTCGTTTTTTTAAGTTTGAATTCTGATCGCAGGCAAAATGGTTGTTGTCTAATTTTTTTTCCCGTCTACGATCTTCGGCTTTAGCTTTTTCAGCCTCGGTAAGTTTAGGCCTTGGCATCGTTTTTTTTTTTCTTTCTTGCTTCAACTTTAACCTTTGGGACCGTGTCAATCAGTTTGGAACCCTATTTATTTGTGATTTTCACTTGAATTACTATTGAAAAAGATCCAGTTTGAAATTTAAGTAGGAATATAATTAAACAATTAAGTTAGAATTCTTAATTAAAGCTATAAAAACAAAAATATCGTTCAAATGATGAAATTCTCTCTTATTCGCAAGCGGTCGCTATAGCAATGCATGCAATGACGACGCATGCGTACTGTTTACCATTACTCTCCTCGATCACAGTTAAAAAAGCATGACGACGTCCAAATAAGGTGCGAACGCCATCAAACCCAAAACAACACCCATTCTGCCAATGAGTAATAAAAAAAAACTAAGTAATTTCATCTATGCCAAACATTGTATATTTTCAGGTGCAGCGGATCAATTCTTCTTGCTGAAACCTCACCAGAATAGATTGTTGACTCCCTTTGACTATAATTCCATCATGCTCTACGGATCTTTGACTTTCTCCAAAGACCATAAAGCTGGTCTGAGAACCATGGAGGCTTTAGATGGCTCCTTCTTGAAAGATCCGTTTGCAAAGAATCACATGAGCGAAAGTGACATCACAAGAATCAAGAAATTGTACAACTGCCCATAATTCATTTTCTAAACTAAATAAAGGAAAGAATTATTCTAGTACTCATTTTTGCTTCTATTCTACTTTATACACAAAAAATAAAATTAAAAAAATAACTTTATGCCTAAAAAATATTATTAAAAAATTTTATTTTTTAAATAAATGTTGAAGTATAAGTTTTTATAAGGAATACTTAAATATAAAGAACACTTAAATTGTTTTCCCTTCTTTTGAGGTAGGTATTTTATTTACGTTCGCACTAGATCTGCACAATGGGCTATTGGCGACGGTCTGGGAAAAATCCCGGAGGAAGACATGCCATCACAATTTTGATCCTCTGCAGAGGGGGTGGCTCTTCCGCTGTGGTAACCCGACGACCTGAGCGCGAAGTCGAGCACTTTACGGTAGCACAGTTTAACAAGGATCCATACCGCACACCCTCGGTCCCTACGTAGGCTGATCAAAATGGTCACCTACCCGCTTACTGACTGCAGCCAGTGATGCTTGACGTCGGTGTTCTACTGGGAACCGTGTCTTTATGATCAGTCCACTGCGGGACTCCTTTCCTTTGAAAGCAGAAGATTAAGAAACCGTCCATAAATGATATTATACTTTTTCAATATTTTTAACCCTCATCTTTTCCGATGTCTTAAAATGTCATATAATAATAATGCCACATAATGTCATATAACAATAATGTCATATAATGTCACATAAACAATATACTCTCGCAAGAAATATATCAAATATCAATATACTTGCAAGAAACAATATACGTGTTTCAGGTTGCATTTAATTTTTTTTAAGGTTAAGCTATATGTTTCGTTAGCGTACGTGAACGCAACAACAATAATATTGGATGTTTTAACGTTTTTAAATTATTTTTGCAATTGAAGACTAAAATTACTCTTTGTTGTCGATGTCCAAGTTTTTGTATCCTATCCACAAATGGATCTGGGTCTCTAGTTCTAAGAGATTCAGCATAGCGTTCCGACACAGCGGACAAGCAAAAATGCTAAATAAACACTAATAATTGAAAGTCTGTTTTTATACCAAGATAATTCTACACAAAAATGTTTTTAATGATATTTTTTTATTGTTTTATGTAACAATAGTCAAAAATCTTGAATTGTAAGGTGGACAAAATTTTTACATTATTTTGAAGAATGACTAAAATACGAAATATGAATGAAATCTGGTGAATAGCTCCTGAGAAATCGAATTTTAAACATCTGACTTATTTTTTTAAATGTGAATTGAAAAAGCAATTAGAATATATTCCGTTTAAATGTATTTTTCTATTACAATAAAGATTCTTTGTGAGTTTAAGAATAAATTGCATTGAGGCACCAAGTTCTTTCTATAAATAAATATTTAATTTATATAATTTCACAAAAAAAAAAGAAGTTCAACTTCCTTATAAGAGAAAAATCCATTGTTTGAACTATTACTTATGAAAGGAATTTTCACAAAACTAACACTCTATTTAATTATATGTGTAGTGTATCTACCACTACAAGAATACAATTCCAATTCACTGGTATATAAGACATGTTAACTCGTTTCTATGTTGGGTGATGAAGATTGGCGATAACTACTATCCTTATACTGGTGACCTTCTGACGCGATGTGAACACGCTCTACCTCGACAGAAACTCCCACTTCGATTTGAATACGCCTACTTCGATAGATGGCCCGCATTGAACAGTTGACGTGTGACTGCGACATTATCCAACACCTCGCACTGTTGCTACTCAGTCTCAATCGCACACAACGTCGCCGTGTATACACGCGATTGCTAGTGGCAACACAGGAGCGACTACGATCGTGAACTTAATACAGCTCTCACGATCGGCATTTAAAAGTACGGTGATCTTTATACAGCTGTGCAGGCTTCTCACAAAAACAGCATTGAACCAACGAGTGGTATCTGTTCATCGAATTCTATCACATTTATAATTCTGGTGGCGTTAGTACTCTAGTGTACCAACCACTACAATATGCTTATTGTTAAATACCAAAGTTATAAATTATGCTTTTCTATAACGATGCTAAGGTAAAAGGAATTTATCCAATTCGGAACAATTTATTCAATTACGAAAAACTCTTTCGTAATTGAATATTTGAGCTAAATCATTTGAAAGTCATGCTTAAACAAATTATTATTTTTTTTAAATTGTTTTGATGAAAATGATTCTACGAAGAGCATAGCATTAAAAAAAAATAATAAAACGAATAAGTTTTAATTTATTCAAGCACTATTATTGCTCATATCTCTTTACTGCTAAGTTATTATTACAAAGCTCGTTTCACTTACACCTCATTGCTAACCTTCTTTAGTTCATTTTAGAAGCCAAACATTTTCCATCTTTCTCAATATTAAAGTTTTTTCAAGAAAAATTTTATTAAATAATTAAAAATAATTTTTTTAAACATTTTTGAATTAAAGTACTTTTAAGCATGTCGTTATTTTATTGAAAATTCCTACTGACCAATAAATTTTATTTTAATATTTATTTATAATTTTTTTTTTTTTTTTGGGCCACTANTTTTTTTTTTTTTATAGCAGTCCTCACATAAAAAATTTGACCTGTGTGGCATACCTAAAAAAAAGCATTTTTCACTGAAATTTGACGTCTATATAACATAGAGATATAGACAGGGGACATTAGCATTTAAAACTATTAATCAGTCATAATTATTTTAAAATAAATCTTTAAAAAATAGCTTATTTATAAAGCGCTATTGCAAGCGCTTTTTCCAATGATATAGATAACGATGTTAAGAGGATCAGGACAAATTAATGCGTACTTGTTTTTCAACACAAAACAAACGAAATAAATAGTATTAATTTGCATTCGATGTTAAAAAGAATTTTTCTTCTGTAAGTTGTACACGCTAACTTGTCTAGAAAGGAATTCTTCGGTTTCTTGACCTGGTGCATGCATTTGTTTGTATAAATAAGAAATTTTATTTGAAATCATTATTTCAATCATTCCAAAAAATGGTCATGAGCCTTAAACAATAAATTCTTTATGAATATGTTTTGTACAATTGATTGAAAATTATACATTAAATGTTCAAATACTTTTTTTAACATCAAAATGTAGGCCTCCACCAGGCATTCAAAAAGATATTCAAAAAAGATACTGTCCGGCTAAAATATGCATAACATATTTTCTAATAATTAAAAACGAATTTATCATCCTATTTATCCCTTTCTCGGTAAAATAAGAATCATTCATATAATCAGTAATTTTTTAATACCACAACCTTGAATTGTGTGCTGAATAAAATCTATTTATAGAGATTCCTTCTACATCTCCTAAACACATTTGCATAGAATTCGAACACCGTTATATGGTTGCTAATGTTCGATTTCATTAAAATTCTCTATTATTTTTCGCACTCTATTTTCCGCCAACACATTTGAATGTGTAAGGCTAAGAAAAAGAGCCTTGGCAGTAAATTCAATCAATTAATAGCCAATGCCATTCCTTAACTATCCTTGGCGAAAACTAGTCTGATGTATACATGACACTCGTATTTTTGACTGATGCATAGACGGAGGCGTCCTGTAGCCATTTTTAAAATTCAGTATATTTATTAATTATTATGTACATTAATAATGAAGAATCCTCTTTACTTTGGAGCTCCACTATAAAATGACTGTTATTATTTATCAATTATTATTTATTTATCATTATTATTTAGTATAAATTCTTCTTCAGGAGCGCAACAGCCCTTTGCAGGCCTTGGCTGCCTCAACAGCACGCCTTCTCCAGCTCCCTCTGTCCATGGCAACTCCCCTCCAGTTCTTAAGTTTCAGGACTTTGAGGTCGTTTTCAGTGTCTTTGAGCCATCGAGTAGGTGGTCTACCTCTAGAGCGGGACCCCTGAGAGTTCTTGAAGGTGGCAATTTTTACAGGGCTATCTTCAGAGCCTCTCCATATATGTCCGAGCCATCTTAGTCGGTTGCTTCGGATTATCTGCATAATTTGAGGATGTTTATAGAGCCCATAAAGTTCAAAGTTGTACCGTGTTCGCCAACATCCTCCCTCTGGTATGGCACCAAAGATAGTTCTAAGTATCTTTCTTTCAAACGTTTCTATCGGGCGTTGTACGTCAAGGTTTAAAGTCCAGGTTTCGTTTCCGTATAGCAAGACGGGCAGAATGAGTGTCTTATATAATTTTAGTTTTGTTTTTTTAGTATAAATTATTATTCATTAATTATTATGTTATTATTTATTTATCAAGTCATTTAAATAGTTTATGATGTTTAATATGTAGTTGTATCACTCTGGGATGAAATAATGAACAATTGAAAATGCATCAGTAAACATCTTCAACAAATAATAAATTCTTCAATCAGCAAATTTTTTCCATCACATATACTAACGTTTCTAAGCACAGATTTTTGCTCTATATAGACTATGACCAGACATACTCAGTCCGTAACGCTTTCGGTCTAATTTATGGATAGAGAAATCTTCGGTCGTGACACTTTTGCATTAGATTACATATTCTATTCGTAACACTATCGGATAAGTTGTTAAGCACTTTATCGATCACAGCCCCTAAATTAGCGATTTCTGCCGATCATTCGTTAGAATACTTCAACATTATTCCATGTTTGTTTGTAATAAAACAACTCTTCAGAATTTGCAATTTATATTGTACGTTCAAAATGAAATTTCATCATGTCTTCAAAATAATGTAACGATTTAAAGGACATATTCATTTAATTGAGAAAGACTAGCGGGGGCACAAAAATATTATGGGACATAATTTCAAGTGGACAAATATTATGGGACAAAATTTTATGTAAGCAAAATAATGTTGGACAAAATATCATGTTGATTAAGCATTGTGATGCAAAATGTCACTCGAGCAAAATATCTTGGGACAAGTTTTCTAATAGACAACATATTGTGGAATAGAATTTCAGGCGAACAAAAATGTGAGACAGAATCTCTTGCGAACAAAATTGGGTGAGAAAGAATCTCACGTGGACGAAATATTGTAGAAATACTGACAAAATATCACAGAACAGAATCACTTAAAAGCTAAATACCGAGAATCAGATTATGATTAGGTGAAAATACCGTGGAAATCTTTCTTTTTGTACAAAAAAAAATCGTGAGAAATCTTGGATTTATATAATATTAACTTTTTTTTTTTAAAAAAAAGGACATTATTCTTAAAAATTTTCTTACATAACAGTTTTAGTCTAAAAATTTATTGTTTTGATTAGTAAATTTAGAACAATGAAAAATCAAACCTATATTTAATTGAAATCTTTTATGAATGAAAATTACACTATAATATTTTCACGTGTTGCAATAAGTTATGACGTGTCTTCTGATCATTCTTTTTTGTTTTATAATAGTAATTTCAGTCACGCCATCTATACAAAATTAAATTAACTAGAATCAGAAAATTATATTGGAAAAATGCATGTCTTGCTATCTAACTTAATCTTAAGCCTAATTTAATCTTAATCCTAATTTAATCTGTTCTTCTTAACCTTAACTGTTTTCCCATATACATATCTGAAATCAGTCTGTCTAATTTAGGATGCCCTATAGACCCAACCTAGTAAAAGAAAAAACTTAAACAAAAAAATTTTTAAGCAAAATAAAGATTGTGTGAAATAAGCATAAAATTAAATATGCAATATGTGGTGCTTGCGTTGAAAACATGTGATAATTTTCTCACACAAAAATAATTTCGCACTAAAGAGATAAAAGGTGAGAAATCCAAGCCTAACATGTTTTCATAATCTTTCAGTTGTCAAGCCAATTTCAACTTACAATGTTGTTTTTTATTGCCTTTCTAACCTTGGCTTCGGCCTTAGAAAATCTCAGTGGTCAGTATAAATCAATTATTTTAAATATAACTAGTTTAAATAATCGTACTAGTTTAAGCAATGTAAAATTAAGTAAAAGTGTTTTTATTTATTTTTTAGCAACAAATTTGTTTTTGAAATGTTAAACATTTGAATTTTAAATGTTTGTTTTAAAATGTTAATGCAAAAAAAGCACTTTTATAAAAAAAGTTCGGTTTTTAAAAATTTTTGATATTTTCCCCAACTTCAACTTAACAGCAAAAGAAATTTAGTCTATTATGCATTATTTACTAAATATACATTATTTACTAAAACTTGATATTAATACATTGCATTAATATCAAGTTTTAGTAAATAATGTATACACAAATCAAAATTCAAAAGTTATAAACTAAATCTTTCAAAATTTGTATTGCAAACAAATACTAGAAAAGCTGTTTGTTATTATAAGTTTTAATTAAAAATTACATTGTATTAGTAAAGCATTTCTGCCACTTCCGCAATTTAATTTTCACAATCTAAGAGATTAGTGAAAGAATATTTTAATTAACGTTAATATGAATTTTTAATCATTAATGTGTAGAAAGATCTAGAAATTCTGAAAAATATGTTTGTTTTTTTCTTTTCTTTTTAGCGTTTTATCCTATTTAAATACATTTTCCACTAAGTTTCTCCATTTCCTCTTCTTGCATGCTCTTCCACTTATTTTTTTTCCTCTCTTTTTTTTCAATTTTTATTTATAACATGTTTTTCAACTAAATTCTTCAATTTTTATTTCGAACATGTTTCTCTACTAAGCTCTCCAATTTTTATTTTTAGCATGTTTTTCTACTGAGCTCTTCAATTTCAATTTTTTGTATTTTCAAATACTTAAGTTTCATTGAAAATTAATCACATGTTTTTCTGTTAAGCTCTTTTTATTTAAAACAATATTCTTAACTCCAATATTCAACTTGAAATTTGTAACAATTTCTTATATTAGATCTTCAATTTTCCTTCTAACAATTTTAATTAAAATTTTTGTCTATTTTTATTTTTAGTAAATCTTGGTGACTTACCACTGCAAAATCCAGATCTGTTTGGAGGGGACATGCTTGGAGTTGATGTGACGGTACTAACATTTTTTTATTAATGAAATTAACTGTAAAAAGAAATAATTTGCGTCCTAATATACCGAAAGTTTCTTAATATTGTGTAAAATTGATTGTAAATATTGAAAAAAAAAATTATAGTAATTTTAAAACTATGGTTTTGAAATCAACTACGCGAAAGGAAAATATTTATATTTTTATTACACCAAAACGGAAATTGTAGGGCACATGGTTATTAGGAGAATATCCAGTTGCTATAGCAGTCCTAATTGGATACTTGCAATACAACGTCACGTGTATGTCAGCCAATAAGGTTGAGACGCGTGACGTCGCTTGCAGGGATCCAATTGAATCTGATCCGAAATCTAATTCAACGTGATAATAAATCCAATTCTTAAATCTGCAACGTTATCACGCCATGCGCAACCACGTGAATAGACACCATGTGATTTGTAGCTAGTAGCTAATCATGAGGGTCCTGTGATTAGGTTTTCAGATTAAGTGTGAAAAAAATAAAATTATTATTTCCTTTTACTGGAAATTGATTTTAAAGTAGATTAAAAGAAAATGTTAATTTTTAAAAAGTTTTTTAAAGAAATGATCTTATTTTAATTTTTTTTAGTTTTGTGTCTAAAATGGAAATGTGCTTAATTTATTAGCATATTTGTGGTGACCCCTTCGTACCATTAAGATTGACTCTAGTTCGCAAAAATTCAACTACTAGAAGAAAAGTTATTTGGAATGTTTTTCTTTTCTTTTTTATGTACTGCACAATCTGTACATTTTGATGAGACTAAATTATATAATATTTTATGCTATGGTCTAGTAAATTACATTTAAGCATTTAATTCAATAATCAAATACGTTTCTTTGAGAAAGGGACGAATTGTGTTCATTACATTTGTATTTTGGGATATGTTTTTTAATTACTTCATCCATTTAGCTTATGTTTTGATGTATTCCTTTCAAAACGAAATTATTTTTGACTCCGCCTGTACTTTTTTGTAAATAGAATTGGAGTTTCAAGTCTACGCAATTTTCCAGTCCCGCAGCGGACTGATCGTTAAGACACGGTTCCCAGCAGATCACCGAAGTCAAGCATCACTGGCTACGGTCAGTGTGCTGGTGGGTGACCACTTGGATCGGTCAGCGTAGGGACCGAGGGTGTGCGGTATTGGTCCTCGTTAAACTGTGCTACCGTAAAGTGCTCGACTTCGCGCGCAGGTCGTCGGGCATGGAAACTAAATTAGTTTTTTAATTAAAATTTAAAATGTTTCAAATAAGGTATGTGTAAATTTTTATTCATTAATGTAACNGACCTGCACGCGAAGTCGAGCACTTTACGGTAGAACAGTTTAACGAGGACCCATACCGCACACCCTCGGTCCCTACGCAGACTGATTCAAGTGGTCACCCATCCGCACACTGACCGCAGCCAGTGATGCTTGACTTCGGTGATCTGCTGGGTACAGTGTCTTAACGATCAGGCCACTGCGGGACGTCAGGTGAAAGGTAAGATTTGCCGAAACCCATAGTAACAAACAGGGGAAAGTGTGAAGAGTGGGAAAATCACTTAACCGTGAAACATTTATTTACAAATGGTATATTTTGCTGTGGGTGTTTTGCAGGATCGAAATGCCATCCCTCAACCCCATCTAAAATGGCCCGGAGCAAAGGTCCCTTACTTCATTGATGATGCTATCTGTAAGTTACATCAGATTATTTTAAATTAGTTGAAATTTAAGCGATATTAATAAGCTTTCTATTCTTAGGAACTACTCTTATGATTTTCATTATTTATTCTCTCTTCATTCTTTAAACTCATATTATTATGAAGATTTAATGTATAGTAAAAAAATCAACTTCTGCTATTTTTATCTCTTTTGCTTTGAATCAGGGTTGGGTTTTTGACATGACAGTGGTAAAAACCGTGTTTTTACCGGTAAAAACTGTCAAAAACCTACTGTTTTCTTTAATTTATAGTATGTAGCAAACAAATATTATTTTCACATAATTGCCTTTATAAATGAATGTTGTAAATGATTGCTATTGATTTTGCAACTATATACATGTATTCTTATAGATGAATATACATTCATATAGATATATTTTATATACTTACTGAAAATAGTGACACTTACTTTATCATTATAGCTTGATTTACAAAGGATTCAAAATTTTGCACTTCTTAATTGCTAGAAATAAACAAAGAAACAAAAAAGCTTTGAACTATTAATAAATTTAAGAACTGAAAAGAGGAATTTAAAATTTGGCATTTCTTAAATATTAGAAATAAGCTAAACAAAACTTTCAAAACTTGCAACTACTAACAAACTCTAAGTTAAGAATGACTTGACATTCTTCAGTAATGTAATATGCCAAACAAAATAATGTTTGGAAATGTTGAAAATTTTGTTTAGTATCATAATATTTTACTTCAAATAGTATGTTTTGATATAATCATGTTGGGAAAATGCAAAAATCTGTTCTTAAATATCTTTTAACAACTTTTTTTCTAATTTTATTGCCAAAAATGAATTAATTTTAAATTATAAACAGTTGACTCAAATAAAAATATACATATAAAAAAAATACAGTTTTACCAAAACTATGGGTTTTTGGCAGTTTTTGACGTTTTTGACATGACGGTAAAAACCATGGTATAAACCGGTAAAAACTGTCATGTGGCAAAAACTTGCCAACCCTGCTTTGAATTGAAATTTTAAAAAATATCTTAAGCAACACCTTAATTTCTTTAAGATTTTTTTTTTATTTAATAGTTTTTGAAAACTACAAAAATAATGTAGTTTTTCCGACCAATCTTAACTATCATCCTCTCTCTTATGATATATTTTTATTACTAATTAATATCAAAGAATATGCTTAACATCAATGCTGTGTTGTCCGAAAAGGCTAAAATGTTTTGTTTGACTCCTAGCTCGTTATACGAAGCAAATTCAGAAAGCCATGGAAAATTATCACGATAACACGTGTGTTCGATTTGTACCACGAACTACTGAGGCAAACTACATCAGAATCTTTGCTGGGCAAGGGTAAGTAAAGCGTTTCATTAAAATTTATAAGAAAATGGCGTTCATCGTACTACTTTTCAAATTTAAATTTTTATAAGCCACAAGTCCCTGACAATTGCATTCGAAATATTTTTACAATAAATTACAGTTTTTACAATAATAAAATAGAGTTATATATTACATGCTGTTAACGACTTTTTTTAAGTACTGTTTTTTGGTTTATAACCGTTGTTGAAGAGCCGACCCAATTTTTTGGGTTTACGACTGCTAACGACCTTGTAATTTTGAACCCAATCCAGAAGACAAGGGAACTCCTGGATCAAGTATTCGGAGAAATTTGCCTTCGTGGACGACTTTTTTATGAAACAAACCCGCATTTGCGTTACATGGAGAGGAAGGCCACGCGAACCTCCCATGGTTAGCCTGATGGCAAGGGGACCATGATCCGTCTACCACTGAAAATATTTTACGTCAACACTGTGATCGGTGTAAGCCGGATGCGGAATTCGTATCGACCAGCCATCGCTGGGATTCGAACCCGGTTCACTTCATAGGAAGACGAACGCTCTATCCCCTGAGCCATCACGGCTCTTTAAGTACTGTTTGTTGGGATTGCATCTTTTTGGGACCTAACTTTCTTCTGCTAAGATTATTCTAGAAATGGAAAAATTGATTCAAAGGAAGCCTTCACCATAGAAGGAAGTGGGGCAGATTTGTCAAATACAAATTAAGATCTTTGAGGGAGCATGAATAATTCTTTATGCTTAAATTAATGTACTCTCATTTATTTATTTTTCATTATCTAAAGAATCAGGTCAATGCAATTAGCAAATTAGATCGAGAGATACAAATTTTTGAACGTTAACCAATCAGAGACCGTTAATGCGCGCTTTGTTGAAAACTCTTGATTCCGCACTTTAACGGATCACCCTAGCTAAATCTGCACATTAGCTGAGCAACATGTATATTAGCGTCTTTCAAACTTAAGCGGTAACATGAGCATCTCTTTTGGGCAGGTGTTATTCCAACGTAGGTATGATTGGAGGTCAGCAGCAAGTCTCTCTGGGACAAGGGTGCATGTTCAAGGGAACTATCGTCCATGAATTGGGTCACACTCTCGGGTTCTTTCATGAACAGAACAGATCTGACAGAGATGAATACTTGATAATCTATTGGAAGAATATCATGACAGGTAACAATCTCTAAATATTCATTTTCACTTTTATGTGACTCTTCCACATTTGTCTTCTAACAGCAGTAAACCTTTATCTATATTGGCAAAATACTATAATTAATCATGACAGGTAACACTCTCTAAATATCATTTGTACCTTCAGATGACTCTTTAACATATGTCTCCTTACTGTAGTTAAACCTTAAAAATAGATATCTTTAAATAAAGTATCTATATTGGCAGAATATCATGACCCTCTGAATATCATTTGTACCTTCATATAACTATTTAACATTTATCTTCTGAATGCAGTTAAAACTTAAAAATAGATATCTTTAAATAAAGTTTTTATATTGGCAGAATATCATGATAAGTAAGACCCTCTAAATATCTTTTGCACCTTCAGATGACTCTTCCACTTTTGTCTTCGAACAGCAGTTCACTTTAAGTAAATTACCTATATTGGCTGTATATAAAGACATGTAACAACTCGGCTGTGTGTTTTCTAGCATTGTCACGTAACCGGATGACTCAACGATTAATTCTAATTTGTTTGAGTTTTTTCTGATTTGATTTGATTTTTTTCTGATTTGATTTTCCCTGATTTGATTCGAATTTTTTCTGAGCTTTCTGAACATCTCCAAACACACCTTGTCTCCAGCTCTATATCAAAAAGAAATTGGCACCTACTGTATTTGAATTTTTTCTGAGCTTTGTGAACATTTCCAAACACATGTCTCTAGCTCTATATCAAAAAGAAATTGGCATCTACTATATTGATTACGTTTTGCTTATAGAAAAAGTGAGAATGAACCTGGAAATGTTCAGTTATTAACATCGCTTGTAGGATAAGTATTGCCACCGAGAGTGAAAAAAAATGCACGCGAATTCTTTTTGTTATTTACAGGCAAGTTTTTTTTTTCTAACTAATACATTTTTGGTTTAATAATATTGACAGCGTCTATTTTAAAACAAATTTTGAATGTTACTAACATTGAAATTCCAGTATGGTATGATGAGGAACTTTAATTATCCACCAACATTTATACAAGCTACTTTATCCATGTTTGACCGCGGTATATACTCTTTGTAAATAAAATATGCACCATTAGGTTACGGATTTATCTACTCCACTTTCCATTGCCATGATTGTGGCAAGCTTTTTTACCCATGGCTGTACATTCCGATTTCCAACTGAAATGTACAGCTTTGGGAAAAAAAATCAAAATTTGCCGTACCCATAACAAGTCCAATAGCTTAGGTGACGTATATGAGGAAATACATCAAAAATTTGAAAACTGGTATTAAGGTAATGTTTATTTGTTGGTTTGATTACAGTGTTTTTTAACTACTTTCAGGTAAGGACACGCAGTTTCACCTGATGAAGCCACACGAAAACTTGATTCTTGATACATTTGATTACAACTCCATCATGTTGTACGGCAATACAGCTTTCTCCAAAGACGGTCGCTCTAAGACTATGGTCGCTAAAACGGGGGTTCGACTCTACGACACATTTGACAAGCCAGGTCTGAGCAATAGCGACATCATTCGAGTGAAGAAACTCTACTGTTAAACTAATAAAATGAATTGAAACTCCTAAATTTTGGCCCATTTTTCTCTCAACTCTTCAGCGAATCATTTTACTACCTTACATTTTGTAATGTGCGGTTTGCAGCGCTCTTACTTAAAAAACTAATTATTTGTTATCAACGAAATTTAAGGTAGCTCCGATGCCAGCAATAAAAACTATAAAACTGCATTTTCAAAATAGCTACCTTTTACAACCATAACTTGGCACAGTCGGAGAACAACCTTAGCATGAGATTGGAATGGTGTCACGTGTAAAAAAATTTCGTGACATTGTTTATAGTTTTTGAACTGATGCTGTTTATAGCACTACCATCCGTTGAAAACCTATACTTTTGGAGCACCTTAAGAAATAAGAATCTAGTTTTCTTAGCAGAACTTAGCGAGCTGTGCATCTTTAGTTTCTTCTTCTTATCTTTATTTGATTTTTCATAATACTGGTTCTTTTTTAAACACCCGGTATTAACTTCACACTATAGCGTTATTGCCCAACAGAAATCTATTAATATATAGATCTATTTATTATATTATAATATATCATTAATGTATTATGTATCTACCTATAATTATTTAATATTTTTTTATTCAAAAAAGGTAGTAAGTCACATCTGATGGTAGACATGACGTGTAGAAAATCCATTATAAATAAATGTGTCAAGAACACAGATTTCAACGAATTAAGGAGAAAAATAATCAGATATTTTATTGAATAACAGTTTAAACAGTACACACATCATTTACAGTTATACAGTTTATTAATTCTTTCTATGTCTCTTTCGCTGAGTTTTCCTTTAGTGAGTGGATCCAAAAGAAGTGATCCGTCGATTCCCTCCATTGTTCGGAGACCTTCCTTTCTGTTTTTTGATCCAGTGTATGATCCGTACAGCATTATAGAATTATAATCAAATGGCGTTAAGAGGAGATTTTGACGCGGCTTCAGCTTGAAAAACTGACCTTCCTCTCCTGAAAATTCAAAAAAGGAAATAATAACATATGGTAAATTTGCTCCAGTGGTTCCCAAAAAGTGTTAAGCGGAATCCTACGGTTCCGTGAAAGGGCAAAGAAGTTCCATGAGTTAGGACTTGTTTGCTCTAAATATTAAAAAAAAAAGTAAATAATACTCCCTGTGACACCCGTTCTTTGTGGGACGATTTTATTTATGGTTCGTCTTTTAGAACACTCAAAATGATGACGAGGACTGTATATATACATATTTATTTTAAATTTTGGATTATTGATGATCGAAACTTACAAATATTTAAATAAAATAGAAATAAAACTGTGGTTACCGGAAGGCGATCACAGGTTACCCATTAGCAAAATGGTTGTTGACTAATTTTTTTTTCGTCTACGTTCTTTGGTTTTAGCTTTTGCCGCCTAGGTAAGTTTAAGCCTTGGAATCGTTTTTTTTTCTTCCTTTAACTCCAACCCTTGGGACTGTGTCAATCAGTTTGTTTGAGACCCTCTTTATTTGTGATATTCACCTGAATTAGTATTGAAAACGATCCAGTTTGAACTGTGGGTTAGAATTTCTGATTCGTAATTAAAACAATAAAAACAAAAATATCGTTCAAATGATGAAATTCTCTTTTATTCACAACTCAAGAAGTATTTATGGGATCTCTCTGATCCCATATCTCAACAATAAATTCCCCAACTTAATGCATAACATAATTAAAAGTGAAAAAAAGAATTCTGAAGAAAATTATCAAACAGCAGCGGTCGCCATAGCAACGCATGCAATGACGAAGCATGCGCACTGCTTACTGTTATTCTTGAACACAGTTGAAAAGTGAAAAGTGTGATGACGTCCAAATTAGATGTGCACGCCATCAAACCCAAAACAACAACCATTTTGCCAATGGTTAACAAAGTACAGCTTTTATTTCTAGAGCCCCATTGCTCCCTTGTTCTTCATTCTACACTCTATGAGCATCATGTTCATAATTAATCTCATTTCTCTCAAGAAAGACCTTCTCTATTAACTCTTTCCTCTCCCGCGATTAGGGGAACCACTCTTCCCGCACCCACTGACCCTCAGCTAAGGGGTCATTCAGATGCGTGGGAGAGGAATCAGAGTCCTGACACTCCCTTCATCTTAAATTATTTGTTACATTTCGGTCGAAAATTTTGTCCCAAATTAATTGCTACGTTTCAAGTAGGTGGAATCATAAATAACTTCCGATGCAGCTTAGTATATCAACATGAATAAAATTATACTGATAATGATTTCACGATTCATTAGTTAGAAGATAGTGTAATTCGATTACTGGTAGACTCCTCATAAAATGGGAGCGTGACTCAAGAGCGGGGATTTTTTTAAACTGATTTGGTAATGATTTAAGGAGGGAACGCTTGATAATAAAATACAGTTGATTGATAGCATAGCACTCTTAAAAACGTTCAAACGAAATTATAAAATCATCAGTGTCAAACATCAGTTCAAAAGCAACCAGTTTGGGATAGTAGCAGAAATAATGATTAATGCAATAATGAAAACGTAAACAAGAATATCATTCTTACAAGATTCGTCTAGCTGAAAAACCACACATAATTGTAGAAAAGCTTATTAAGCTAAGTAAGACAGAAAAAGTTGTCTGCCTTAGGAAGTTACCTCACTCGCCGAAGATGCAATAAAGAGAGTTGTTTCTATGTTGTTAAAAAAAAACAATTTCTAGATCCATGAATCAGGTTTTAACTCCGTTCACTAACAAAAGCTTTCGAAATTGACTTTTTTAGCCATTATATGCGATATTTTGGCTATTGTAAACACAAGTCAAAGTTCCCCAAGGAAATCGACTATTTAGAGTTTCATAAAAAAAATTGAAAAATGGAAACTTCTTTCTACATTAACATTCTACGTTATAGTAGTCAGCCTATTTAGTCATGAACCTTTTAATATAATTACAGTTTCTGTTAGACTTGGACTGTAATTACAGGCAAAGTGCCTCAGCCAAAGCGTGTGATTTACCGACTTTGTTAATATCCTTAGGGAGCTTAGTTTAGTACTTCAGTTCTCGGTACTTTTAATGGCATCTCTATTAAAAAGATGGCTGACCGTGGAATCGGCCTCTGACCACTGAGTCTCAGCCAGAGGCTAAAATTGCTATTACCTTCCCACCTCACTAAATGGATAAACAGCTCAGTGAACCACTGACCAAATGAATTGCACGAGTCTGAATTGATAATTATCTTTCCAAGTAAAGTTGATGTGTAATTTATCTAAACCATATAACATATACTCAAATGACTTATATGCTTAATTGGTTCACCTAACACTCGGTCCTTCATTCAATTGACTATCCTTGTGTTGAACTTCCTGTTATATTATTTTAAGCGCTTCTCAACTAATACCAAGCTTCTTCAGAAGACAATCTAAACACTGGTATATTATTGGCCAGAATCGCGCAATGTCACGAATTACCCTGACACGTAGAGACATTATGTATGACATCGTGAAAAAAATAATTTTTTTAAATATAGATTAGAAAACACGCTTTCCTGTACTACCTGTTTTAATGTTTTCCCAGTTAATCTTTATATAATCATCTCGATCGGACCTGTTCTGTTCGTGATAAAATCCGATAGCGTGTCCCAGTTCGTGTATGACTATGCCTTCGTGGCCACAGTTCCTTCCTAGAGACACTTCTTGGCCGCCTCCTTTTCTTCCCACATAAGAATAACATCTGAAATAAAATGCTGCTATTCAAATGACAATAATTCTTAATAATTATCTTAACCCATTGTGCAGCTCTAGTGCGACGCAAATTAACAACAACAACAACTTAATAATTATCTAAAAGCTGTGAACTCATTTCCTGAAATAAATACAATAATTTGTTTCTACATAAAAAAATCTATACATTCATTATGGTTTATAGCTTGATATTTTAGCAAGGATAAAAAATAACAAAGACACAGTTCCCAGTAGAACACCGTAGTCAAGCATTACTGGCTACGGTCAGTAAGCGGGTGATCACTTTGATCAGCCTGCGTAGGGACGAGGGTGTGCGGTATCAGTCCTCGTTAAACTGTTCTACCGTTAAGTGCTCGATTTCTCGAAGGTCGTCGGACACCAAAACAGGGGACATATCCCCTCTGCAGAGGATCAAAATTGCAATGGCATATCTTCGGATCATCCTCAGGGATGTTTCCCAGACAGTCACCAATAACCCATAGTGCAGTTCTAGTGCGAAGTAAATAAAGTACCTACCATTAAAAATAAAAATTATCGAAATCTCATGAATTACTACTGAATAAGGAGGATCAGTTTATTTACGAGAGGAAACAGTTCAAGTATTAAAAATTGATTTTAACAAAACTTTTAAGTTCCTTCCGCAATTATATATATTTTCATTCCGTCCTTCTCAATAGTGTTTCCTCAAATCTCAGTAATTTTTCTTCTTTTTTTCATTCGTTAGATTAGCAACCTTTATTGTGCATATTTTTAACACTTAATAATTAACACTTAACAAATGTAATGACTCTTTATAATACGAGAATTTTAAGGGGAAATATAAAGCGTTAAATGACTGGTACAAATAAAGATATCCGGTCTTTTCGGAAAAACCAACTTTTACGTAAACTGTAAAACACTTTCATATATCTGAACACCAAAAATGGTAGTAATGGTACTTTACAGCAAAGGTACTTTAATGGTACTTTAAAAATATTACTTTACAGTAAAGTAGTACTTTACTACCGAGTACACCACAACCAAGGATAGTTCCTTGAGTAGTAAAGCACCTAAAATATTCTTTTACACTACTTGGTGTGAAGTAGCCGCCACCATGCAGCACCTCCTAGGAGAGAGAAGGCCTCAGCATGGATCAATTTAGTAATCAGAGGTAACGAACATAAACTGCGCAGTGGATGAAAAATAAGAAAGATGTCACTACGTTCGGGATACTAAGTTGCGCAGTGGTGATAAATACGAAGGATGGACTACTAAAGGATCAAATTTCTTGTTGATGGTAGCCCGTGATGAGGCCTTCTCTTCCATGTTTGTTATTCGGTAACACTTAAATTTATCAGTTATATCGGTCGCTGAACAGCCTACACAGTTTTGGAGTTTACGACTACTGCTGTTCAACTCCGTAGCCTTGTAATTTTGAATCAATCCAGACGACAAGGAAACTCCTGTATCAGTAACCCCAGAGTTATGATATGTTATGGGAACATGGAGGACTTTGCGACACGACAGATTTAACGTACATCAGTCACCATTTACTACCAGGTAGTCTTCGGTCGGCGGGATCGAACCCACGACCTCTTGGACATGAGACCAATGTCCTTAAATTTATAATTAGAGTAAAATATGATACACATAAGGAATCAGTAAAGTTACTATTACCGTACAGTACAATTCAAGAATAATTGATTTAGGATGCATGCCCTAGTCAAAATGTTTGACAGTTTACCATTGATGGAGCAACATAATCTTGATGGTAACCATCAATAATTCCATCATGAACCATTATATTTTTTGAAGTAACCAACATAAATAACCATCATCCCAATATAAGAATTCAGACAGATTTATGATGGTTCGTCATAAGAATAGCAACTTGTTTTGTTTTTGTTGAACCAACCAACAGAAATCTCCTTCATAGTTTCTTAGAAATCAAATCTTGGGACGGTCATGAACAACCATCACCTTAATGTATGAACCCGGTCTGATTTATGATGGGCAGACATTAAAAAAACCCAAATGTTTTTGATGGTATATTCCTGCTAAATCAACAAAAATTCCCAGTAAGCCATCACGGAAATGTATAATTCGAACCATCGCGGATCATCACGAATTGTTGGTTCATAAGAATCAATCTTCTCTTGATGGTTAATCATCATAGTATTAAGGTAACATTTTCCATCATAGAATGATGGAAGTTTGCTGGCATATCGAAAACCATGAACACATAATAGAAAATGTTGAATGATGGGAACCATCAAATGATGTTGGACCATCATGAATCGTACTAACACCTACCTAAACCATCAAAATGTTTTGATGGGACCATCAAAACTTTTGACATGGGTGTATACGATATTTCTTAAAATAAAATTAGTTTGTTACACTAACGTACACACGACGCAGACAGAATATTAATGATGATTCGAACTGAACCGTAGTGAATAGAAGTTAAATATTATACAATTATTTTATGCAATTCATGAAAATATCTTTATTATACAATTAAAAACATGCATACACTTTAAAATAGTTTATAGGAGCAGTCCGTCACATTAGTCAGACAAGAAGATTTAAATTACTCGGCAAATAATCAATCGACCACAATTAATATTCTTAATCAATTAGGAAAGAGGATTGAAACTAAACTTGGTGTGACCACTTTGTCAATTCAATCCGACAAGAAGACATTCACCAGTACATTTCATATAAAGAAAGCGCTATCTTGTCTGCCATATTGGTCAACAGCTTGAAATTGCACAACCTTTAAGCTTGTAATAATGGTCCAAACGCATTAGTTTTACATTTAAAATAAGCTCTAACATCATTACATACAAGAATTTATTTGAATAGTTTAAACATACAATAATTTTTCGCCAAGTTTACGGAGCTTCAAAACATCCAACCTGTTTCTCCAAGGAGCTGCAGATTGGTGTAAGTTTTACCGTTTATAAGTGTAACTGCACCCATTGAAGTGAATAAGAATACTCGATTCGGTATTTACTTGAAATAAATTGATCATTCGCACTATTTTTAGAGTTTTTCCAAAACCGAATTCGGTAGGCTGGTACTTTATTTTCGTTGCACTAGAGCTGCACAATGGGCAATTGGCGACGCCCTGGGAAACATCCCTGATGCTGATACGAAGACAAGTCATTGCAATTTTGATCCTCTGCAGAGAGGATGACTCCTCTGCTTTCGTAGCCCGAGTACCTGCGTGCAAAGTCGAGCACTTCACAGTAGAATAGTTTAACAAGAACCGATGCCGCATACCCTCGGATCCTACGCAGGCTGATCAAAGTGGTCACCCACCCACTTACTGATCTCAGCCAGTAATGCTTGACTTCTACTTCACGATCCTCTGCTGGACACACCGAATCCGGATAGGTATTACAGCACGGTTTTTACAGTTCATTGCGACGCGATATCTCGCAAGGGTTTTTTGACCACAAATAAATTTATGTTTAAACATTCTACATTCTTATCGGCACGTGACACAGAAAGACAAGATGCCCGAAGAATCTCCCGCGAGGGGTGATTATAATGTATAGTTTGTCCAAAGTAAGAACTCCTCTAGCTATTCGTCTGGACCCGTGGCGGTGACTATGGTAACGAGGTATAACTATTTCAAGTAGGGGTATAGGGTCACGGTTTAGGACATATTTTGGCTCAGGTCGGCGGGAGAAGAAGAATCTCTCTCATCGATCTATTGTGTCAGCCATTGAATGAAAAGAAGCTACCCCTTTCTGAAATGCGCTATTCTTGTTTCCATAGCAGTAGACGGTCTCAGATTTTGTGGCGAGGGGAGTTCATACCGTATACAAACTATAGCAAGACAAAACCGCTATTTGTTTTTAGCCAAAAAAAACACGTGTGAAAAATAGGTGGTAGGTCGCTCGGCAGTATGGAAAAGTTGGTCGAGGGACGCCTTAGCCTTCTCGTTCAAAGTGATCACCTTGCCTCAGAAGTCCACTAAATGCGATTTTTCCCTATTATAAGATAGGCAATACTAACCCTTGCCCTGAAAAGAGGCGAATGTAGTCCTTCTCCCATCTTCTTTGTCTGAATTGAATGCAAGTGACATTCTTGTAGTGATCAAAAGCTCTTTGAAGAACCACGTCCGCTAAAGAAAATAAATAAATAATAGAATTAACATTGGAATAAGGTGGCTCCTCATTATTAATCAATTTTAAAAACATTGTACTCCGATTCCCGGATGATTTACAGATTTAGTTCGAGGAATCATCAAAACCCCAGAAACATAAAAGAAAGAAAAATGAAAATCTACTACTCAGTCTGAAACTGTTAAGTACCCATCAGCTAATAATAATTTTGCATGTCAGATTTTTTTTTCAAAGAAAAGGAACAATGTTTGCTATTTTATCATAAAAAGAATTGCAGCTCGCAAACAGTTCCCTTTTGAATAGTACTGGAGCAATTTAAAGCTTTTTAGTATTATTTTAACGAAAAATTCATATCAATATAGAAATGAAAAATGCGTATACGCGCATAGCACTAATATTACATATTTTATCACTTGCATAAAAATAATACTGTACTTACGTACAGTTTCATTCAGTCCAGGCTCTTTGAAATAATAAACAATTCCTTTAGGCCATAAGAGTTCTGTTCTTGGGACAGCACTTCTATCATCCTGTTAAATAAAAAGCAATAAGGTATCATTCATATAGTACGTAAGGAACCAAGGGTGACATGCACCCAAGCTTGATTTGCTTCATTTTAGGAGGACTGGGAGAAATACTTTCTAAGTTTATTTTATTCGAAAAAAACCTCGTAAATTGCAAAAAGTCAAGGAAAAATGTAAAGTAAGAAAGATTCGTAATAATGAATACAGGAGAAAAGTTTTTAAAAAAAGTCTTGAGTAAGTTTAAAGAGTTTGCAATTTGCTATCAACTTTTACATATATTTTTAGGATCATTTACAAAAATTAAGTAAAAGACAGTATGTACATGAAAAATTGCAAATTAATATTTAAACAAAAGAATGCCAAAACTCCATCAAAAGCTAACAAAACGCTGTTGATTGCTGATCAAAATCTGTTTGATTGCCTGATAAAAAATCGGACATGTTTTTTTATTTGCCTTGAAACACAAACATGTATTTTTAAACTCCATATTGAAAAAATGATTATTAAGCAAATTTTAAAGTTGAAAAAAAATGAATAATAATACCTCTGGATTGAAACCTAACATGTCGCCTCCGACTAAATCAGGATTCTCCATAGCACCATCGTCAAAGTCACCTACAGAGTAAGAGGAAAATTCAAGGGCAACCGGCACAGAAAATAATTTTTTTTTCTTTATATGTTGTTTATAAAGTGAACAAATCAGTGATTCTAACAGTTAATGTGTTAATCTAGTTAATGTTTCAAAAAATTTGCTTCAGTTCTCAAATGACCTGCCAACTACCTAGAAAATCTGCAAATTACCTTTTGGAGATCATTAAAGTGAGAGAAAAATTCTTTGCTGAACAACAGCAACGTTTCTGTTTGCTTAAATCAACATTATTTATTTTTCGTTATGAAGCAAGTAATTACAATAAACACAGAAATTGAGAAAATCAATCACTTTAAGAGCTATAATACAAAAATCAAACGATAAATTAACATAATACCATCGATTTTTTAATAACTGAAGAATCAAGTCAATGAATACAAATTAGTTGATAGAATGACAGAAACAAACTTAAGAACGTAAACGATACTAAAACTATTAATGTGTATGTTACTGTGAATGACAGAAATGGGTAGTTGTTGACTTCCAACGGTGAGTACTGATAATCACATAGTCGCTTTGGAAAATGTCCGAAATATATACTAGATCTAGTTAAGTGCCACTTCCCAGTATATCCTACATCAATATAATTTTGTGCAGCTCTAGTGCGACGTAAATTAACAACAACAACAACATCAATATAATTTTAAGGTTCAATGCCACTGCCCGGTATGCCCTACATGAATGTTCTTCGTTAAGGTCAAATGTCACTGCTCAGTGTACATTTAATCGGTAATCCGAACACTGGTGTTTCTCCTAGTCTATCTTCAGCAGATATTAAAATATCGACTAAATATAAAAACATCAACGAATAAATTAATTATCAAATCGGGTAAAACAAATATGTCGGACATTCACCAAAGCGACTATGGAATTGTTGACATTCACCGGTGAAAGTCGACATTCTCTTGATTTCTGTCAACCACGGTAACAGCTGTATTTCATTAATACATCAAATGAATCCATGTTAATTGACGATTAAATACTTAACACTAGATTGCCTAAGGAAGCCATTTTGACTGATTTTAATTTCAATTAGAAAAACAATGATGTATATAATGACACAATTTCTTAGAATTTTGTACAACATATAATTTTTTTATTGTTAATATTTTCTACTAACTTGTTATCTGACTGTAAATAATATAAAAAATATTAAAAACTAATTGTAAACAAATTTCTTTACACGTTATTTATTCTTTTACAATCCTATCATTTTAACTGCTTTTAGGCAATATAGGTATATACTAAGTTTCAGTCTTTCTAGTGTTAAGCAAAATAATGTTTTTCTCTTGGACAAATCTATTACTGTGCCAGACCTGATAAACAAAAAGGACTTTATTATTTGCTGCCATTTGCAAATGCATCCGGATATTTGTAAAATTTAAAAAATAAATTATATGCATACTTTAAATTTATTTCTATTAAATTTATGTCAAAAAACATGAAAATTGTGTCAAAGAAATTTAATAGATAACATTTATCTAGGTCTAGTTAAGTGCCACTGCCCGGTGTGGCATACATCACTGTTTTTCTAAGGTTCAGTGCCACTGCCGGGTATGACCTACATCAATGTTTTCTTTAAAAGTGCCCTTGCTTCGTATGCATTTAACCGGTACTCCAGACACTGCTGTTTCCCTAATCTACCCTCAATAGATATTACAATATCGAATAAACATAATATCAGCGAATAAATTAATATTGGATATAACAAATATTTCTTACATTCACCAAAACGACTATGTGATTGTTGACATTCACCGGTGAAAGTAGACATTCGGTTCATTCACGGTAACATGTACAATACATAAGTGCCAAAAATGCTTTTTTCCTCACTTTAACGGATTACCCTAGTTAACCTGCTGTTTGACAAGCGAATGTGCAGGGCAGATTAACCTAGTTAACCTGCAGGTTAGCAAGAGAATGTGCATATTAAAGGTTTGAGAGCCTTAGCGGTAATATATAGATAAATTCGTAATGAAGATACTTAGAAAGTTAAGGCTGCGAGCACACAAGTTTTTCGTTTCTTAAACAGGCGGATATCCCACAAAAACAAATTGAAAGAAATGTCATATTCCACAAATACAAATTGAAAGAAATGCTATATTCCACAAACACAAATTGAAAGATAAGGCTTTCAGTATTCTAATTCTTCATAAATCAATCTATCCTTATCTGCCTCTCTGCTGACCCTAAGTATGGTCCTCACAATGACCGATCCCCAATCCTGTAGCGTCCCCCATGTAAAAAAGGGGAAACCTCAAACGATTTGTAGTTGCAAATTTCATGGGGGGTCAAATTTCATTGGTAGAATCCAAACTTGTGTGTGGGCAGCCTAGGCATATTAATTGTCATAACTTACCAAGAGTCCTTCCGTTGCAAAAGCTTAAAAATGTAATTAAAATTGCTCCTCCTATCATGATGAAACACTGAAGGGTTATAGATATAGTTACTAGATGAAACTCGTTGAGAGGTATAATTGACAAGTAAGAGAAGAAAACAGAAGTTCTGTTATAAAATGGAGGAGGAAAAAAAATCAAAGCAAAAATCAATCATTCAATTTCTTTCATCCTATTCCTAATCTCTGGAAACAGGTGGTGGCATTCTCTTTTCAAATTATCGCAATGGAAACTGATTTAATTTATTCTTATCTGTTCGCTACATAATTTTGCATAGAAATTTCTCCTGTAACAGGGTCTAATGTCTGACTTAAAACGCTGTAAAAGTACGGGTACGTAGTAGTATTTTCCATCCGTTTTGTAACATAAACAGGTTTAAGTCGTTGCATTTTTATTTTTAGAGGAATTTCTTTTTTGCATAGTACATCTCCCAACCAATAAGATTAACTCTATTTAGAAAAACACAAGTCCCGTAACACCAGGATGCACCTTTTTTTGTTTATAACAACCAACATAAGCCAACATAATAAGCTAGGCCAACATAATTTGTAGCTAAAACGTGAAAATAGAATATTAGATAAAGGAATATTGTAGTACGAAAACCCGACATAAACATAAGAAATAAATGATTCTGTGATTGAATCACTTTTTCTAAACATTTTCAATTTTTTCTTAGAATTGACAGTTTGAAAATTGACACTTTTAGTAAAATATTTTTTCAAGAAAAAATCTTTATAAGAATTTTTTTTCTTCTTATTTTTAGCTAATTTACATATAAATTTATATTTTTTTCTTATTCCACGTAAGTTGATCTTGAATATTAAGATTTTAAAGTAAAAAGAAAAAAAACTTTAAGTAGTTTTATAATCTATAATATTACTTTCTGAAATGTTTCAAAAGGTTGCATTAAAATAATACGGCCATTGTGCCATAGCACTCTAAACACAAATTTTATTTGAATGCGTGTAAGCTTTTTAGTCTTGAATAATCAAATGTTGCCAGTACTACTAGGACAAAAAGTACTGAACACAAAAGTATTCCAATTCTTCTTATAAAATTATACTTCTATAAATTCTTTTCATAATATCCCTATTCTTCTAGTAAATAGATATTATTCAGTTTTTTAGGTTGTCTTAAGTAATACTTTAAGTAGTATTCAATAGTTAATTTTACACTCATTAATTATTTACGATAATTTTGCATTTTTATCGAAATAAAAATTTAGTTACGAAGTAATTATATATTTAGATTTATTTTTGATCCTTTCTTAAATGGCTATAGAAATTTTAAATAAAAACGGTGCTATAGTACAGCATGTTGTCAAACTCATTATTTGTAACGGAGCCTACATTTTTCAAGCAATAGCATGCATATTTTATATTCAAGTAATTATATCAAGTTATTTAAATTTTGTACATTTGCTGTACATTTGAATTGGTTAACATTGCCATTGGTAAAGCTTATATGTTGTAAAAGATAATTTGGGAAGGTGACCAAGCTGAGCGGTCAATCAACTGCGAAGTTTTCTTTCGCTTCTTTCGATCGATACTTGACGACCAAATTATAGTTCTGGAAAATTCGAGTTTTGAAGCGATAGGACTAATTTTTACGGTTGTCTTTCTTGTTGTAGTTCATTTACGTCGCACTAGGGCTGCACAATGGGCTATTGGCGACGGTCTGGGAAACATCCCGGGGGATGATCCGAAGACATGCCATCATAATTTTGATCCTCTGCAGAGGGGATGGCACCCCAGCTTCGGTAGCCCGACGACCTTCAAGCGAAGTCGAGCACTTTACAGTAGAACAGTTTAACGAGGACCAATACCGCACACCCTCGGTCCCTTCGCAGACTGATCCGAGTTGTGACCCACCCGCACACTGACCGCAGCCAGTGATGCTTGACTTCGGTGATCTGCTGGGAACCCTGTCTTAACGATCAGTCCACTGCGGGACAAATTTGAAAAGCAGCTGGCCATTTATAAACCAGTTTGGTGCTCAAAAAGTGGCGCTAATTACTTGAGAATGGCGAAAAAAAGGGCATTCCACAAATTTTCTGTATTAATTAAATTATTTTTCAAACATTTTGTTTAAAATTAAAAGTTTAGAAATGCCAAAAGTATGTTTCTCAACAGGATGCAGTACCGGATATTCAAAGAAACACTAAAATATGGAAAAAATGAAATTGTCTCAATTTCAAGGGCGCAGTTGTTTCTCTTCTTACTCCCGCGTTGAAATGAACCCTGCGTCCGAGGAGGTGGAGCAAAGTGCCTTTTCCTGTCATTCATGTACAATGTACAACATTTCCTGTATAATGTACTTCTGTCTTTACTATCCAGTGTCAAACCCAGTGGAATGCTAACCGGGGGGGGATGCAGAGCACCTCTAAAATTTAAGTGATAGGGCAAATAACGTGTTTCGCCCCTCCAGGAATTTAGACACTCTCAAAAATAAAGTCTAGTAAAATCGGTAATTTTTAAAAGAAATTCAATTTTGAAGCTAGTTAGGAATATTGTTCATAGAAAAAAAAATGAAAAATATAAATTTGTAGCAGTAAATTAACATAATTGTTTTAAATTTTCTGTATAATTTTAAGATTTCATTTGACACAATATTAGCTGATATGAACGTTAATTAAAAGATATGAAACAATCTAATACGATTAATTTTCATTCTAGAATGTGCACTAGATTCCTATAGACTATTGGAGCACTTAATTACACTAGGATGGACATTTAGGATTCGACTACACCCTTTGGATTGTCATGGACATGGGTTTAACAAAACTGTCAATTCAGGTGATGGAAGATAAAGGTAAAGTCTTTGCCATATTAATCATACATTATGATGTATAATAAAACAAATCACTTTATCCCGAATCTAAAAGTATATTCGCTTACTCTTAAAAATTTGATATATATCAAATATTTCAGTTTACTAAGCTATTTTAGGGGCTCTCAAAGACATCGTAATTTCAGATTTTCCTTAAAAATATCACTAAATTCAGTATTTTTCTAACTCAACTATTTATTTCATTAATTTTATTTTATTTTATAACCGTCATTGAACAGTCGACCCAATTTTGGATTTACCAACTCCATGACCTTGTAGTTTTGAACCTAATCCAGAAGACAAGGGAACTCCAGGATCAAGTATCAGTAGAAACTTGCCTTCGTGTAGGACTTTTGATGGAACTAACGCGCATTTGCGTTGTATGGAGAGAAAGGTCAGGAAAACCTACCACGGTTAGTCTGACGACAAGGGGACTCCAACCCTTGATCCATCTACCACTGAGGATATTTTACGCCAGCACTGTGGTCGGCGCGAGCTGGGTGCGGAATTCGTATCGACCAGCCCTCGAATCCGAGCCACCTCATTGGAAGGCGAACACTCAATTCCCTGATCCACCACGATTCATTTCATTATATATCCGTTGTTGAACAGCCGAGCCAATATTTGTCTTTACCACTGTGTTCAACTCCGTAGCCTAGTAATTTTGAACCAATCCAGAAGATAAGGAAACACCTGTACCAGTAACCCCCAGAGGTGTGATTTGTTATGGGAACATGGAGGACTTTAAAACTCAATAGATTTAACGTGAATCAGTCACCATTTACTACACGGAGAGTCTTCGGTATTTCATTAATTTGTAACATTCAGTGACCAAAAAAAACATGCGTATCAAAAAAAATTTCTCCTGGATCATTTACATCAAATAAAGTCATCGCCAAAGGTAACACTGACATGGGTCTGCAATTTAAACTTATACACAACTAAATGTTTTCTTTCTGCTTTAACTTAGGAATTTCATTTTAAACTGATTTCTAATATTAATTGAATATTTTAGTCTAGTTCATTATTGGTCATTTTTCAACTACAATTCCTGGTTGGTGAATAGTCAGCAACTTTGCCATATACACCCTTGTGCAAATTAATTGAAACAAACTTTTTTTTTCGTGTTTTTTACACCCGAAAAAGAAGATGTTTTGGGGTTGTTTCGGTTACAATGGGGTTGGACCTTTGCAGCCTATTGACGGTATGATGCGTTCTGAGCAATACATTACTATTCTGGGTAAAAAAGTTGTTCCAGAGTTGAAAAAACGATACCCTGGTGGAACAAGGATTTTTCAACAGGATTTAGCTCCTTGCCATACGTCCAAAATTGTCAAGAAATTCATGTCTGAGAATCAAATTGAGACATTGGAATGGCCAGGGAACTCTCCGGATATCAACCCAATTGAGAATCTCTGGGCCATATGCAAGAATCGCCTATTAAATATGGACTGTACAACTATGGAGAAGCTAATCACGGCGTTAATTCATGTGTGGTACAAGGACACAAATATTATAAATGACTGTAAAAAATTAGTGGAATCCATGCCGAATCGTGTCCAAATGTTAATAAAGTGTCGTGGAGATCATATTATGTACTAAAAATTTTTGAGTTTGTATAAATTTAAATAAAATAGCATTTTCTCTTAGTTTTCTGAATTTATTGAGTTTGTTTCAATTAATTTGCACAAGGGTGTATGATCCTTGAAATGACCTGTAATATCTTTGCTCCCATAAAATACTACCTTAACCCTCCCATTATATCTCAGAATTGAATTTGTGATTTTGTAAAATTACTACTGGTATCTGATAGAAGAGATGATATCGATCGCTTTTTCGACTAGCTAAGTTTCACCAAAATAAAAATAAAAACTTTAAAAACCAACTTAAGACATATATTGGATTTTGGAAAATCCGAATTCTCACAGAAAATACACTTGCTACTGATTTATACGGAGCAAATTCTTCGTTTTTATTTTATTTCGATAAACTTGACTCAAAAACTTACCTGAAAATGTTTCAGAGTGGACAAATTCCGAATTCAACATATGTAAAGTTGTAGTATTAAATTATGTCAATGCCAAAGCGAAACAAGAAGTCAAGCTAAGCAATGATTACATAGAATCGATAAATGCACAAAAACATAAACAAAATGTTCTGCGAGTTGTCGAGCAAGATAGACCGAATCAGAGAAATCTTCAAACATCGTTAAAATGCACTTTAATTTAAATTTCCATATTTCTTCAGATAATATGTAATTTTATTTTGATTCATTGTACCCTTCTTTTTAAAATTTCCATACTTCTTGGATTGGTGAACCACCTAAATATCATTTAAATGTTTTGTATCTTATTTTTTTAACATGTAACAAGGAAAAATTCAAAATTCAAATAACAAGGAAAAATTTTTTGCAAAAATTCTGAGAAACATTGGATGCCGGATGCACATGGACATACATGTATAAAATGTTTCAAAAACTGCCAGCTCAGTTCTATAAAGTTTTAAATTTCTAATTTTTATCAATACATTAGAATATGCAATCACGTGCAACTTCCCCAATGCTATGTATGACAGTTAAGTAACTGTTTATAGCTATTATTCCTAGATTTGAACTATTAAAACAATTTATTCATTGACCAACGAAGCACATGTTTCAAAAATGTGGAATGCTAAGATGCAAAACCTTTCTCAAGTATTATGCTTTAAGAAAATTGAGGCGTACTTTTATAAGATATTTATTCTTTAAGTTAGATTCAGGGTTGCCACTCAAATCTGGAAATAAAATTCCCTGTGCTTTCCCGGTACATATTATACACAATATATTAAGAGGAAATAACAATTACTGCGCTCTTGCGTGAGCTAAATTGCACCAACTATATTTATTATTTTTAACTGCTGGAAAAACAGCTGAACATACTTAAATAATGCTATAGTAAATGAAATAGTTTAGTAAAGCTGAAATATCATGGTTAAATAACCCATAGATTACGCTTTGAGTGGTCACCATTTTTTAAAAGACAAAAATAAGAAACAAAACTCCCTGTATTTTCCCAGTTTGTAAAGAAAAAAAATCAAAATTCCCCGCATTTTCGGTTATTTTAGGTGATTTTAATATTCCTTGTATTTTCCAGGTTTTGCCTGTGGAATGGCAACCCTGTAAGATCACTCCATGATATGGTCATGTATTCCATATAAGTATCTTCATCGATGACATACCTTAGAACATTTTGCCATGCTCCTTATTGTGCTATAACTTTTTAATGAGCCATTTATTTCTAGTAAGAGTAAATTAAAATATTTCTTCGGTGTACTGTGTAAGCCCTAGATTGAAGAGAAGCTACTCTCCCTGAAATCGCTATTCTTGTTTCCATAGCAGCAGAGACGGCCTCAGACTTTGTGGCAGGGGGACTTCTTTCCGTAGACAAACTATCCTACCTGCCAACATTGGAAAAATAAGATAACGTAGAATTGGCCAGCGGCATTTTTTAGGCTGCTGGTTAAGTTTTGATACATCTTGTACAATTAAGTAAGTCAAAAAGAGAAATTCAAAATTGGAAATAATATAAGCACTTACATTTAGCGAAATTAAAAAATATGTATATGAACCTTAATCTGAAGATTTTATTAAAACTATTATTTATAATTACTTAAAATATTTTATTTTATAACTGTCGATGAACAGCCAAAACAATTTTGAGTTTACGAATACAGATGTTCAACTTTGTAGCCTTGTAATTTCGAACCCAATCCAGAAGACAAGGGAACTCCTGGATCAAGTTTTGGGAGAAATTTGCCTTCATGGAGGAATTAACCCGCATTTGAGTTACATGGAGAGAAAAACCGCCCGCGGTTAGCATGATGGACAGGAGACTCTAACCTCTAATCCGTCTGCCACTGAGGATATTTTACGTCAGCACTGTGGTCGGTGCAATCTGGATGCGGAATTTGCATCGACCAGTCATCGCCGAGACTCGAACATGGTTCACCTCATTGGAAGGTGAACGCTCTATAACCTGAGCCATCACGGCTCGACTTAGACTTAGAGGTTCGGCAGCTCTGATGAGCAGGGCACATCGACCAGAGGTCTATTGTACCCAAACCGTAGTCGTGATTTGCAAGAAAGCCCTATAGCTGAAATAAAGTTCAGCAAGCACCTTACAGGAACATCTTGCAGTTCCCAGGCATTGTTGCAATGCTGCCCTAAATGCTCAAATCTTTGAGCAGAATAGACATCACAATCACAAAGTATGTGCCGTGATGTCTCTTCTTCTAGATGACAACCCCGACAAAGAGAATTGGATTCTATTCCCATAATGTGTAGGTGTCTCCTGAGGATACAGTGACCAGTAAGAAGACCTATGATCTTCCTTATACTGTTTCTATTAAGCTTTAAGAGCTTCTTTTGACGTACACTAGGACAGTCTCTCGATTCAGCTCCTTAGCTTGTCTCTGACCGTCAGCAGCGCGCCATTGTTCATGGGCAATCTTGCCGTAGAGTTTGAAAATGGTTGCCCTAAATGAGGAGGGAGAAATTCCCAGCGCAGGTCCAGGGCCCCAAAAAATTGCATTAGAGCCAGCCTGTGCTGCTTCATCAGCTAGCTCATTTCCACCAATACCCATATGTCCAGGTACCCAATGCAGGGATACCTTGTTATGAGCGGACAGGTCACAGAGGACCGAGAAGCATTCCCACACTAACAAAGAGGTGAATTTACACCTTGACAGTGATAGGAGAGCAGCCTGACTGTCAGAACAGATGCGGATAGTCGTATTTTGATATCCTTTGTCTATGCATAACTTGCAGCACAAGATAATGGCATAGACCTCAGCCTGAAAAACGGTGGCATAATTTCCCAGGGGAAAGTGAAGTTTGGTACCATCATTGGAGCAGTAAATTCCTGCTCCTGATTTGGCACCAATCTTTGACCCATCAGTGTACCATATCAGGCATTTGCCTTTAAGCCACCGAGGAGAATTGAACCATTCATCTCTAGTAGGAAAATGGATCTTGAAGGGCTTGTGAAAAGCATATCTTAGTGACATAAAATCACTAGGCATAATAAAAGAGGATAAATCCTTCACTTGTGAAACAAGATGTCCCCATGACAAGTGTTTGGAATTCTCTTTCCATAGGCCAAGGTACATAAGACGCTTTACGCCTGTCTGAGCTTCAACTTCAACGCGTAAGTTCAATGGAAGAAACCCAAGTAAGCTCTCTAGAGCAGCTGTAGGAGTGGTCCTGAGACAGCCTGACAGGGCTACACAGACCATTCCTTGTAGTCTGTTAAGATTAGACCTTGCGGAGCTCAATCTAGTCCTTGACCACCAGACGATTGCGCCATAAGTGATGATAGGACTAATAATCATTGAGTATATCCAGTAAACTATTTTGGGGGACAGTCCCCAGGTTCTACCAATAGCATTTCTGCAAGACCAGAAAATCTTTCTAGCCTTGTTGGTACAGTGCTCAAGTTGATGACCGCAATTTAGTTTGGAGTCAAAATAAACCCCGAGAAACTTGACTTTCTCCGAGAGTTCCAATTTATGGTCCAGGTAGTATACATTACCTAGATCAAGTTGCCTTTTTCGTGTGAAGGCTACATAGCTTATCTTGGATGGATTGACAGATAAGCTACTTCTAGAAGTGCATTATTCATGATATCAGAGACTGTTCTTCCATGTTTGCCTCTGACAACAATAACACCGTCATCAGCGTACCCGATACAGGGAATGCCAAGAGCAGTTAATCGAACTAACAAGGAGTCCATTACCATACACCATAGGATAGGGAACAGAACCCCTCCCTGTCCCTGAAGCCAGGTGGATAGCAAATTTGCTATCCACCTGGTAATTATTGAGTTTATCCCTCTGTTCCTAAGTGCATTGATGATAGTCTCAATAGGGACTTTATCAAACGCACCTTCAATATCAATGAATACCGCAAGAGCCATCTCCTTATCTGTGATAGATTTCGCAAGCAACAGCTTGACTTAAACTATTAACACTCAACATAGAAGAACTGTATAAAGCACCATCAACAGCAATAGTACCATCTGTTGAGGAATTAGTCATTAGTATTTTTGTCATCTTGAACACCAATTTTTTTTAATTTTTTTTTTTTTTAATTTCTTCAACAAATACGGAGAAATTTGAGAATATGTAGGTAGATAGGAGATAGTTGTAAATAAAGGAATCTTTGTTAAAATACAGGAGACTTGGCAGGTTAGGTATGAACTATACATTTTTTTATTTATCCAGCAAAACAAAACTACTAGATTTGATTATAAAAAATTAATTTTATTACTATACAGTGAGATATTTTACATTATATACAGTAAAAAAAAAAAATTAGCAACAATTTGTTCAATAAAATGAAAACATTTTTTTATAAAATTCCATGAATAGGTGGGTGGGTGCACACTAAGTCCATAGCATGCTTCACTCTTGCTTCCTCTACATGCTTCTCACATAAGTTAACCAAAACATACATAAAGTCTAAAGCATAGGCATTCTGAAATAAGAGAAACAACATTATTTCTAAAGCTTTTATAATGAAATTTTTACAATCAAGGTTTGTATTTCACTTGATTCTTGCTAAAAAAAAAATAAAAAAAAATCATTGATTTATGTGGGGAAAAATTTTTTCTTTCCTATGATTTATAAATCTCCTATGGGGGTGTTTTTTAAAAAAAAAAAATCTGATTTTATTGTTATTGAAAGCTTTATTTTGAGAACTAATAAGAGAGGAATATATGTAAATTATTATAAATAAAAAGAAACTAAATACAGAAAAGTGTGTGAAACAATCACACATCTTTAGTTTTATGTTTAGTTAAATACAAGTACTCTTAAAACTAATTAAATATGTAGTTCGCAAATATAACTAGTGAAAAAAGACTTATTTTACCAAGAATGATTTAGAATATTTTATTCTTTTTTCATGTTTTCCGATCGCGTTTGATTTTTTTTCTTCTTCATTTGATGTCTAACAGATAAACTGGGTCCTTGTGTTACAAAATTTATGAGGGTGTTGATCTTGTACAAAAGTAACAATAATTTTATTTATTCAGTAAATAGTTTGTAATAATTATAAGATAATTTTAAAAATTTTAATAGGAAATATTATGTAGAGTTTTTAAATAATATTAGGCACTATCAGTATATTTTCACAAAGCATATTTTCGTATATCACATCAGTATATTTTCACATAAAGGTAAAAAAGTTTATAAAAAAATTAATTTAAATAAATAAAAAAAATTGTTCTTGCCAACCCTGCTAACAAAGATATACAGCAGAATTCAACTAATCTGAATTCCAAAACTCAGAATAACTTTAATACGTAAAATATGGAAGAATCAATATTTAACAAGGTGCATAACCAAATCTTTGAATAAAAAATAAGCACCTTTTAAGTACTATTATACATTAACAAAATACAAAATAATCTTCAAAGACTTTACATGATCATGATAAAATAACAAGTTTCTGATGAAGAACTCGTTTCTTGATTATATTAGCCATTATAAAATGATCAAGAGATTTTTTGTTCAATATCAGAAGGTGAAAAATGAAAACTAAAATTTAGAATATCTGGCAAAATGCAGTAGAATTGCACATGACAGTGCAATATTCTCACCGAACCCAGCTTAGCACCATCAAACATGTAAAATGGTTGGTGCTTTCATATGCTAACGACCCACGGTACACCAAAATAGATTGTAGTTGAATTGTGAAAATGTTGAATAGAAAAATGTGAAAACCACGCTTTTACATAATCAATTTAGCTTTAGTCAGTTTTACAAATCGACATTCTCTTTTCTAAAATGAGATTTTCGAAAAAGGAAAATTAAGCACATTTTAAAAACACTCATGAAAAAAAACATTTTTAAGGGCTTTTAAAAAACGGGGAAAAAAGCACCGTTAAGCACTTTTTAAAAACGCTATGCACCATGTTTAACACAACCAAATAAATGAGTGAATGGGAAAATGTTTACCTTTGACAGTTGAAAGCATTCCTCATTGAAATATTTTCGAACATCATCATAACATTTGAAGTTAGTCAGCTTATAATGCTTGTCCATTGTGTCAGCTTCTTCATTTCTGTTATGGAATACTTCGGTCAAAATATCAGTTACCTTCTGTGATAAATATATCCTATTCTGAAACAAGACAAGGTTTTAAAATTTTAATATCTGAAATTAAAAATAAATAATAAAAAAAGCAAAAACAAAACAAAAATATTTAATTTCACATTATTAGTGAATAGCCTCTTTTAAACTGTAACTTGGTTCAGTATTTCTCTAATGAAACGATTAAAAATGTTTTAAATAATTTTGAAATCTAAATACAATGAGCATTGAAGCTAAACATTTTTGTCAGAAGTATGAGATTATTAAATTTTTATTTTCAACTGTTTTTATTAAAATTGTTTTTAAATCAATACATTCGTTTTTTTTTTCAATTGTTTTAATAGTGAATTAAGAAATGAATTGAACTTATTTTGGAATGGTAAATCTGAATAAAATATGATTTTTTTACTGCATTTACCAAACAATAATCAGTGAAAAACAATTTACTAAACAATAAACAGTGAAAAGCCCTTCACTTCATACTTTTTTTAAGATCTTGCCATGAGATACTATTGAGTTCCTTCAGAAAATAACTTAAGAGCACAAAAATTTTAAAATAATAACACAATAGTAAAAGTAATAAAATAATAAATGACAGTAAAAAGTTGAAACATTTTTATGCAATTAGTGGATGGTGCCTCAGGTAAAAAATCCTACGATTAAAATATCTCAATTTATTCTTATCTTTATTAAATTAAACAAATAAAAAGGATTTGAAAAGTTTGAGATGATGATTGTTGAGTGCTCTGGACCCACGTGAAAATATACAATTAGTGAATGATCCCCAATCCAAGTTTAAGGATCATGGTACATATCTATAAATAGAACATCACGAGAATTTCATTAGCTTGTGAGTAATTAAAAAAATGGTACTTCCCTAGCGATAAAATTAAATTGAAGGAAAAATAAAATTTTCTTTTGCTATTAGAAAGAAATTTGGAAATGTTTAGTCGGTTATCATGATCAGCTAGAATGTGGGAGATTTTTTGGTTCGATTTCAGAGGGTGGAAAATTAAGCCAGAAATCATGCATCTCTTACGAAATGCTGCGAAATTGAACATGTGAATACTAGATTCTTTCCCATAGAATCCGTTTAATTGTAATCACATGTGTAAAATGACTTTTATACGCAACGGACTAATGGTACACCAAAATGTATTCACGCTGAATGAATTGTAAAAACGTTGTATGGAATAATGTGAATACCATGCTTTTTGCGTAACTCGTGTCCAATGTCGACATGGTAAAGGAAAAAAATCTTATTTTGGAAAAATCCCAATAAAAAAACACCTTCAAGGGCTTTTAAAAAATTCAAATCGAAAATAAGCACCTTTAAAAAATGCTACACATCCTGATAATTCAAAAGTAATGTTATCCATGCTTTTCGTTATAATTGGGGGAAGAAATAAAAACTTTTTTTCTTCTTATTTAGTTTGTGAAAATTATTATCATTTTACTCATGTGCACTTTTGTTTGTTTGATAGGCAGAATTTTGATTAAAAAGTATAGAGCAGCTTTCAGGAGAACTCCAGACACTTGTTGTGGTAAGTACAATGATTATGAGGAAAAGTTACTTTAGTGACATAGGTCGGCATGCAGATAGCCCCAAACTTTCAGTCTGGAGGAGTTTTCCTCAAAGCCACACTATAATTATAGTAGTATTGGTTGTCAGTCAAGCTTACTGTTTTACCCACATATAAAAAAATTTCACATTAAAAGTTATAGATATAAATATATATACAAAAAAAAGCATGTCCAAATCAGTATGTAAATCCTAAAACAATGTACTATATGTTTAAAAAAATGGTTATTACACACTTACTCTAAGCATCTTGTTAAGTTTCTTTAAATATTCAGCTTTTTGGTCATCAGAGTTAGATTTCAAGTACTTTCTTTTCAATATTTCAACGGGTACATCTCGACTTCGGACAAGATCTAAATTCTACAAAAAGAAAAATTGCTCTCAACTTGTTCTATAAATAAACATTACAAAAAGTAAAATATTTGGTTTCTTTATATTCTCAAGACACATTTTACATAATACTTAGTAGTGACCATAAGAAATTCTAACATAAATTGGATTACTAGTTGGAAATGAAACTTTAAAGTAAAATTGGAAAAAATCATGATTTCTTAAAGAAAAGGAAAAAAAAGAAAAAAAGATTTTTTTTATACTTAAAATTGATTTTCTTTATATAAATTAGATTTTTTCAATGTTTATCAACCAAGGCTTAGATAAAATATCTTAATGTTTAATATTTTTTAAATACAATATAACTAAAATATTTAATATTTCTTACAAAAATGATTCAAATTACATACTATAATTAAAAACTTATAAAAAAAAAAGTTACGAAGGTGGATCAAATATAAATCACTGTCTTATACAGCATCAGAAATTTTTTATTCTTGCTGTCATGGCAACAATACAAATTTATCCACAGTGTTTAGTTCTTTTTTTTTTTTTTTTTTTTTTTTTTTTTTTTTTTTTTTTTTTTTTTTTTTTTTTTTNACTTGAAACTGGAGTGAACTTAGCATTTTTTTTAATGCAGTTGCATAATGCATAATATTTAAAAATTTTAACAACAGAAAATGTCAAACCTATTGAAATTTTACACAAATTACAGGCACAGTTTGGTAATTGTGCACTGTTAAAGTATGCAAATGACACAAGTTATTTAAACTTAGTTGTGAAGAAGTTGATAACTTGTCTCACGCTCTTCGACCAGAAACTAGACTTACAACACATAAATGTTTTGACCGAATTAGTGACCTTATTCATAATAACTCATGAAGCAAAGTTCGAGAAATTAGCACTATATAGAGATTAGTTATGGAAGTGTGCAAAGTATAGGTCATGACGATTTAAAAGAATGAAGTTTTCTGGGAATGTTCGAGAGTTTTCTGGGAATCACGAGGTGTTACGTGTGATTACTTCAATAGCAGTGAACAATTAAAGCAAATTATTATTGTGACATTTTAGAGAAAGTCAAAGTAGCTTATTATCATGCAAGGCATGCCAATATGCAAAGTGTTCTTGCAACAGGGCAATGCGACAATATATAAAGCCGCAGTAACGTAAAAAAAGTTACAGGCATCACACTGGGAAACAGTGAAACATCCTCAACATAGCTGGACTTGCACCTTCGGATAAAGATTTGTTTGCACCCCTTAAGGAAGCCTTGGAGGGAAAGAGATTTTTATTTAATGAAGAGGTAGAAAATTTTGTGTGCAATTCGTTCACTCCTCCTTCTTGTGCAGCCAAGATTAAAAAAACTTACAAAACATTGAAAAAGTGTGCAAAAGTTAACAGAAATTATGTAGAAAAATAACAATTTTGTATTTTTTGAAAGTAATATCTCAATATTTAGTCATAATAAAAGTCTTATTTATGTTTAATTCATGCTCATATAAGTTTGTAATTAAGCATGTCCGAGAAAAAAAAAATTAATACCTTTACCTTTATTCAATCTCAACAACCCTCATGAATTTGTAAAACCAAATTGTGAATTTCATTTTGAAAATAAATTCGTTTGTGAAACTGAACTTGGAAAGTAAGTTCGATTTCAAATGAAGGATAATTTAATTTAAATCACGAAACATAAAAAATAAACTTCTAAATTACACTCCACCCATGGGTGCAAGTTGGGAAAAAGGCCAAGACTGAAAATATTTTGACTGAAATACCTAACATACACAATACCCCCTCGACATATGCAAACTATCTAAGAAATCTTTACCATAATACATCATCAAGTTTAAATACTGTACAAAAAATATTTATTCATGTGTCTTTTGATAAAATAACAACAGGTCATAAGAAAGTAGACCAATAACGTAGACCTAAAAAATAATTTTAAGGACAGAAAAAAAAAAATCCGATTTCCGTCTTCGAGACAGTCTTGTTTCCGTCTTACTTCCGTTCGCGGACATTTTCGAAAGACGGAAATCCGTCCTGGGGACGGAAGACTTGCACCCATGACTCCACCGAACAAGACGGTCTTTGTTATCCATATATATGTTAAAAAAATTGTATGTTTATAAATTGTAAAGCTACTTGTGTTTAACATAATAAACATTAAACTAAATGGATTTAATTGAAATATGTATATTAAACAGACAATTATTTTGCATGCAAATAATTAAGAAATTATAATTTAAATGCTTCATTGCATTTTTATCTTCATTTGTTTTTCCGTATGTTGTATTCTATTAAAACATTTAATAACAATTTTGGCATTATTTTACTGTATAAAAACTTCAATATCAATGAAATATAGAATGGATATTTTCGACTATAACTCATGATTTTTTTTAATCAAATAATAAATTTAAATCAAAAGATTTAATTTTAGAAAAAGTTGATTTAAATTATGAATGATTTAAATCAAAACTAGTCTTTCATTAAGAAAGACTAATTTTCTCCACAGAAAAATTTTTAAAAAATTATTTGACTCACACACTTGTTTAAAAATCACACTTGTTTTTGATTTGAATAGAACTTTATTAGAGCAATAACACGAAAGATATTATTTAATTGCATCTCCTTCAAAAAATTAACTGCAAAACTAAAATAAGGATTCAGCAATGTATTTATTAATTAAAAAATTTTAAGCATATTTTGCCAAAGTATTATGGCAAAACTAATAAATGTAATTAAAAAAACACTTAAAAAAAAGCTAGTATTATAACAATATAATTGATCCTGAAAAAAAAATTAATAAAATTATCTTTCTTTAAAAGCAGAAATTTTTTTTTTTGGNGGGGGGGAGCTGAATAAAAAATAATAGATAAATAAAATAAGAATCGATAGTAATTTTATTTTTACCTCAGGTCTGGGTAGTGTGATGGGTTTAGAGGATTTTCTACCTTGGAACTCACTCACTGTCATTTTAGCAATACTCTGAAATAAAAGAGACACAACAACAAATTATATACAAAGTTTATAAATAATAGGGAGCAGCATAATCAAAATACATGGTTCATACTTAAAAAGAAGACACTTTTTCCACTGACTATTCCAGGTAGAATTACATAAGATTCTCAATTACAATTTAAATAAAAAATCTGACAAAATTTATATTTTATAAAAATGGAAATTAGAATTATAAATAAAATCGCAACACTGGGAAAGCATTTATAAATCATTTTTACTTATAAAAAAATGCCAACTCTGATTAGAAACAATAAATTGTCAGAGTGATAAAAGTGACACAAAAGACTAGGAAAATATATTATTTAATATTTTTTAAAGCAATTTTTTTATGAATACGAAATTGCTGCAATAAAAGTAGTAAAAACATTAATAATCTGTATATAATTGAAGTTAAACAAAATAAACAATTAAAACCTGATACATTAGCATGGATTAAAATATTAATTATGGGAAAGATAAGCACCAAAGAGATTGCAAAACTAAACTGAGCGCTACTTATTTAAAAAGAACGCAATTAAACAAAAAAAAAAATTTAACACAAAATATGAAACTATCCTAAAAAGAAACTAATAAATATATAAACAATCTACATCTTATTAAAGACAATTCATATTTATCAAGCTAAATCAAATNATTAAACAAAAAAAAATTTAACACAAAATATTAAACTATCCTAAAAAGAAACTAATAAATATATAAACAATCAACATCTTATTAAAGACAATTCATATTTATTAAGTTAAATCAAATAAAATACATAACTAAAATTTAATGCTTTTAATCAGCAGAGAAGCAAAAAATGAATAAACAAAAAAATTTAATATTTAAGTCTTAGCTATAAAATAAATAAATAAATTATCATAAATTAAAAACTGCTAGAAAACAAAAAAATTAAAGGGAGAACTTATTAATCAACAAAATAAAAAATCAACTTTTCAACATCATTCAAAAAAACAATTTAAAAAAAACTTAATTAATAAAAATATACAATAATCAGTATTTAATTGACATTAAATCATATTTAATCAACTGACAAACATTTTTAAAAACACAAGAAAAAAAACTATAAAAATGCAATATGTTAAGATTTTCCATTTTTAAAAAAAAAAAAAATAAAAAAAAAAAGAATCACAATTAAGATGGACAAGTAGATAAAAAAATAAAAATTTTTATGGTAAAACTGCAAAATTAATTTAAAAAAAAGAAAATAAAACTTATTGTAAATACCAAACCAACGTAAAAAGAAACTAAGAAATATGTAATTTTATTGAAGTTAACTTAAGATTATAATAAACTTAAGATTATAATAAAGATGATAATAAACTTAAGATTATAATAAAGATGATTATAAACTTAAGATTATAATAAAGATGATAATAAACTTAAGATTAATTAAAATCACCAAATTAACTAATATAAAACAAAATTAATGATTAAAAAATGCATTAAATATCATAGCTGACAATAAGTAAAAAAAGAAAACGAAGAAATGCAAGAAAAATTCATTAATCAATTTAAATAAAAATAGTACTTTAAAATTACAAAACGGAAACGATCATAAAAGAAAAATGAACATAAATATTAAAACCCAGGATACTATGAAATCAACTGAATTATAAAAAAAAATTTAACTTCAAATTCATGATTATTTATAACTAATTTATTGAGCACGAAACTTACTCATACGTGTGATTTCTGGAAGAAGAAATTATCTGAATGTATTTCCTCAATGCCATTTTTGTTTAATATTTAGTTTTTTTTCAACTTTTTGTACAAAGAAGATAAATAAAAGAATGTAATTTTCAGTCAAACATAACAGAATATATATAATTAAAAAAATACATATTTCTTCTTTTTTGCAATTTGCAAATCATGATTGAAAATATTAATGCTTAATTATGTCATAAGTTAAAAAAGAAACAAGAATAAATTAGAGATTTTTCACTGTATATGTCACTAAAAGAGCCTTATAATATACTCATAACTCAATTAACACCTTATAAATCACTAAAAAAAACTTACAAGATTTTTGAGCATATTTAGAAAACTAAAAATTACAATATTACCATGTCTCCATATTCTTGAACATGGCTTTCAGTTGTTTCCTTCTTAACAATTCGAAATTGCTGATAAAGTGTTTCATTGGTCAATACTTCCTAAAAGGAAAAAAAAAAATATTGTAAAAAAAACTCATCTCTAATAGTGATCAAGACAAGCTGAAGGTTTCAAGATGAGTATCACAAAATACAAAAGAGGTCATCCCATCAGCTCATCTTGATATACTGGAATCTTGTTTTGTTTCTATAAATGCTAATTCCTTTGTTAACAGCATAAATTCCTCACCACATCTCCATAGCGTGCTAAAAGTATTTTACCCTGATTTACCCCTCTCGGCAACTGTGGTTTTTCTTGTTCTATTTTTTTCTCTATTATAAAATTAGCATGCGTTTAAAACCATAATAAAAAAATAAATAAATACTTAAGTGTCAAAAATCGTGTTCATAAGACATTCACATATTTTTGCTTTCACTTTAATCTTAACATAAGTTTTTAGTATGCTTACATGATTTATGCTTACATGATTTACATGATTCATATCCTCTCTAGAAAATGTCACTTACATGGTTCTTCCACTAAATTTTTTATTTAATAGAGCTGGTAATTTCAGTTTTTTTATATTTATAATGTGTTGCCCTTTCTGGTGATTCACGTTATGGAATTAAGCCAAACTCATTTCTTGTCCTTGGAATAAATATTCACTGTATTTAGCATTACGACTGCATTTAGCATTACTACTGTATTCAGCATTACTACTGCTATTGCATAGATGCTATTGCTCGTGGTCCATGAACAAAACACAGTCTTCAATTCTAAATTACTTTATTTTATATAAAACTAACTGATTAATCTGGAATAAAGTAGCAGGCGAATAATAAACAAATTATTGTTTTTGTAGAGATATTTATTCTATTTCAAATTTTTACTCACTTTTAATATTAAAAAATGCAGTAAAATATTTATAAGTTCTTATTTAGGAGTTTGAATCTGGTGAGAATTTAAAATAGCCCATTTATTCGAGGTATTGTTTATTTATCAGTTTATAATATATATAGACATAAAATTGATTCCAAATTTTCTTTATTTACTTATTTTGTTAATTATTTGCTATTACATATTATTAGGCGTGAGATGAATAATGCATGGCAAGTTGTGAAGTCAAACAATAAATTGATCTATAAACGATAAATTGAAATAAAACTAAATTTGCTAGTCAAATTTGTTTAAGACTAGAAAATCCTTAGTGAAAAAAAATTTCAATTTTATCAATTTTGTAGAAAGTTTATAAAATAAAAGATGATTAAGAGAAGAAGAGGAAGACAGAATCGTAAAATGTGGCATAACAAATTATTTAATTTGATTAACTTAATGACACTTTATACTTAATTCCTTTAATGCTATGCACTTTTGCTTGGATAAGTTTTACAATGCAGTTTTAAAAAACCATTGAATGATATTATTTATTAAAATATAATTTTCTTTCAATAAGAAAATTATATAGTATTTAAGTTTTTTTATTATTTATTAAAGTGAACTTGACAACCAATTAAAATTTCAAACCGAGTATCGAATTAAAGCTATTATAATTTAAGTTTTTTTAAATATTTATGCCTCAAAAAATAAGGCACAAATGATTTATAAGCGGATGCAATAGTATCTTTTTCGAATCTTCTTTTTTTCCTTTGTAATCCATTTTCTCAACAATTACAATTAAAAAAATTTTAAGGTATAGCAGTTGTGGATAAAAATATTGAATTGTTTTTTAATTAATCAATCAGAGAAAAAAAATCATAAAGTGGTTTCATCAATATAGACATGTTTAATATAACAGAATTGTTTTTGCTTTAATAAAATGCAAAATAAAAATAATGCTAAATAAAAATTCTGCCATCTATCCAGCAAATTGTACGTAAAAAGTTTTCACAAAACACTTTTAAGCAAAGATTTCTGCTTTTAAAGGTTTTTTTTTCTTTCTTTGAAAACAGTGTGAAATGGTGAAGTTTTTAGTACCTTATCAGAATCTTCCATCCAGTTGACACTGTAGGAATCTCCCAAGTAAGTTTCTCTTTTTTCATCAAAATAACAAGCATAAGAAGATTCTTCACCGTTTGCTGCAGTTGTAGCATAAACTAGAAAAAAATATTATACTAAATTAATAAACAAACCTATAAGAATATGAATGCTAAAAAATCAAGGAGAATCCGAATTCAAAATTGAAACTGAGAAAAATGTTGATATGTCGAGGACTCAGACACAATGCTTATTTTTTATACTTATACATTTTCTGACACTCATTAACTAAACCAAACGTATTTCTGTATGATGAAAATAACGGGTTGTTTGAATGCTATGCAAGTATTTACAGGAAGAAGTGGAAAAGCAATTGATAAATTAGGTTACTACGGCTTAAGTTATACACTAAAATTGCATTGTTTGCATTTGTTCTTTTGAAAGAAAAAAATTACACATAGAATATATACATGTAACAAACATAGAACATATACATATACAACACATAGAACATATACATATACAACACATAGAACATATACATATAACCAAATACTTTATTTAATTTCAATTAAATAAAGTATAATTTATTTCAATTTAATATTATATGAAAATAAAAGACGATATTAAAGAAAAAATTGTAATTTACCATTGATGTTGTCTGGCAGGATATTTTCAAACATTGATCCAGATTCACAAGCTTCAATATAAAAAACCAACTGAAATAGAAATGGATTGTTTTTAGTTAATTGAAGAGATTATAGAGTTATATAAGTATTTTATGCACAAGAATCATGCATAAAGAATAATAATACATTAATTAGACATAATATTTTACTAGAAACAGTAACTTTTAAGTTCTAAAATATTATATTTTCATAAATCACATAAGAAAAACGAAAGTATTTTTTCATACAAATTAATTCCACCAATAAATAAAAAATTTTGGCTACTTATACTGGTCACTTGCTTATTTTTATCACAGACTTTTTCATAGCATTTAAAAAAATCTTTGTCATTAAACATAAAAATGCTTAATTTCTGTAATCATTTAATAATTTACAGCCACTTAAGAGGATATAAAGTAAATGCTTAATTTCTGTAATCATTTAATAATTTAGTGCCACTTAAGAGGATATAAAATGAAGCATCATATTTTAAATTACTTTATTTATATTCTTGTTCTAAGATTTTACTTTTTGTTATCACTTCTAAAAATCATTTTCTTTAAAAACATTAATTTAATCTCCATTAAAAAATATACTAATATCGATCAGTAGCAAGTATCTTAAATCGAGTGGAGTAGAAGATCTATGCAACACAATTCTATAAACTACAATCCTATAAACAGGGTGGCCACTCAAATCAGATTTCAAATTTCCCTGATTTCCCAGGTTTTCCAGATAAAAATCTTAAAATTTCCAGGTTTTTGTTTCTTTTATCTTATAAAGTGTAGGATGTGTGCAAGAAAAGTGTCTATATTATAAAATATTTTATTCAAAATGTTATTTTTGTTAACATATCATCTTGAAAAAATAATTTATTTTGACAATTTGGCAAGATTTTTTATTTATTTTTCAAATGTTTTGGTACAAAATTTTGAATCAAAAATCATATATTGACCAACAAAAGAGTAAAATTAAATGTTAATATATAATTGGTTCTTTAAAAAAAAAAAACATTTTTTAAAAATATGTTATAAAAGGTTAAAATGAAATAGAAAAAATTAGCATTAATGTAACAATTCTAACGATTTATCGACAAACATTGCTCTTAGCAATTGTAAAAAATTGTGTGATTGGTCGGTTTGCTGAGAAAAAGTAATTCACAGATTTCTTTGAATGGGAGTAGAAAAGCTTTCAGAAAAAAAAATGCAATATAAAATCTATTATTATTAAATTATAACCAACTAATTTTTGGAGAATTTTATAAAGTTAAAAATACAAAAATATTTTGTCAAAATAGAAAGAAAAAAAATTACCACCAAAGCATCGGAACAAACTTGAGCCATAAATGGATTCAGCACAAGGACAGAATTTAAAAACAGAAGCTAATACCCTTATCCCTTTTTCCACCTCCACCAGAATCTTTCCTAAATTGCACAGTTCCACAGCGGTCAAAGGTTTCTGCATTCGCTTAGCAACCGTGGGAGAATTTTATGTGTCATTCTAGGTTAACAGAGCTGTAATGGAGCAAATTTTGATGCAAGCAAAATATCGCTAAGTTGATGATATTCCAACTGTTTGGCGATACATTTCCGTTTAAAAAAAGTGGGTATAATGGATAAAATAATTTAAATTAAGAAAATTAGAAAAAAATTTAAATTAGTGAAATTAAAAAAAATTTCAAAGAAAAAATTTCCAGCTTTTCTCTGAAATTCCCTGATTTTTCCAGGTTCTTATCCAAATTTCCCTGATATTTCCAGGTTTTTTCCAGTATAAAAAAAATTCCCTGATAATTCCAGGTTTTCAAGGTTTTCCAGGTGGGTGGCCACCCTGATAAAGAATAATACTTCATAAACAACATTGAATTGGTGAGCAAAAACACTGAAAATTGCATTGAAGAAATTTTTTAAACGGAGCATGAATTAATGAATGTTCACAGGTTGCAAGGCTTACATTATAAAGGCTTACATACCATAATTTAAACTGATTTGAATCATCTGTGACAAATTGTTGATACCCTGTTTTAAATTGATGCACCATGGAGCTGGGATAGCCTGGTTGGTAGGGCACTGGGTTCATGTCCAAGAGTTTGTGGGTTCCATCCCTGCCGGCCATAGACTTCCCATGTAGTAAATGGTGACTGATGTACGTTAAATCTGTCGAGTTGCAAAGTCCTCCATGTTTGCATAACAAATCAATACCTCTGGGGGTACTGATTCATAAGTTTCCTTGTGTCCTGGATTAGTTTAAAATTACGAGGCTACGGAGTGGATCATTAGTAGTCGTAAACTCAAAAATCTGGTCGGCTGCTCAATGAATAAAAAAACGGATACACCATGGCTCAAATTCTAATGATGGCTGGTTGATACGAATTCCTCATCCGGTTTACACTGACTACAGTGCTGATGTAAAATATCTTCAGTGGCGGACGGATCATGGGTTAGAGTTCCCTTGCCATCAGGCTAACCATGGGAGGTTTTCGTGGTTTTCTTCTCCATGTAAAGCAAATGCAGTTTAGTTCTATCAAAAAGTCTTCCACAAAGGCAAATTTCTTGCAATACTTGATTCACTTGGCGTCTGGATTGGGTTCAAAATTACAAGGTTACGGCGTTGAACATTAGTAGTAGTAAACCCAAAAATTGGGTAAGCCATTCAATGACAGTTATAAAATAAAAAAAGGTACACACCATACTACATATTAATTTTAAAAAAAGTTTAAATAACAAATTATAATAAATATAGGATTCACATTAATTTACATAATATAATAATTAAGTGAGTGAAGGGTAAATCATATGGAATACATAACTTTCACCTACCTTAGCATACATTTTGTGCTTAAACATGTAATTGATTGTTTTATTGAGGTCAGAGGAAGTGAGTTCCTAGGGAGACAAAAATCAGTTTATATATACTGTAGAAAGTATTGCATCAAACTAGTAACTACATTAAATAATAAAATATTTAAAAAAACTTACTGAATCAGGGAAAGCAATCAAACCTGGAGCGCCGTGATCAGCGAAATAAACAAAAACATGGTCATTGGGTCCACTGAAATCAATAACACTGAATGAATACTGACTTTATAACACAAATATTTTAAATTGACAAATGGCATGTTTTGAAAACTAATAGATTTTTGTAAATAATGAAGCATATAATTTTTAATTACTTTGAAACTTTAATAAATAAATCTACAAAATAGTGAAAGAAGAATGAGTGGTACTTATGCCAATCATATCGCACGAAATAGAGGTAATTTAGAAAAATTAAATACATTTATTCAGATGCATTTAACAGTATAATCAAGCACCAATTTTAAACCTCATTCTTTTTTATAACTTAAACAGCTATTTTTTGAATATTTTAAATAAATCTTCTATTATCTCATATTCTCAATTCACTTGATTTGAGAAAAAAGAATGTGGATAGAATTGTACTTTTTCACTATAACTTAAAATCCTATTGAAATTATACACAAAATAGATTGTCATTTCATAAAAATAGGCATTAAAATAAAAATTCTAGATTCCTCACTATACTTATTTACTAGGATTTGTGAAATAAATAACTTTCATTATGCATACATTAGCAAATAGTATATTAGGAAAGATAAGTAATGGTAGCATAAAAAGACACAAAAAGTGCCTAATGTAAAAAATACTGCACAGTTATAAAATTAAAAGCTTACTACTAAAATGTCAAGGCATTTCTAACAAATGAAAAAAAATTCATTACAAGCTTACAATGATATTTATATTATTGAAATAATCTCCTCTTCTAGGGGAAAAAAAACATTTCCTACTTAATAAAAATATTTCTAAATATTTGTGAAGACACAGACTTATGTTAAAACATACCTTTTTAACACTTTTCCACTACCAGCTCCATTTAAAGCCTTCTTATCGCCTCTTAAAACAGCCATGAAATTTTCAGGAGTTACTGCCTATAATAATTATATACATTTTAATAGTGTTAATCAATTAGAGTCACAAATGTGAACATAACATGGAGCAGAATTCTCCTTTGGAATAAAAAAAGAGCAGGGTGCTTCCTCTAAGAAAAGGGCACTTAAGAATTTTGAAAGTGCACTCACTTACCATCGTTAAAATTTATCAAAATATATAATTTTATGTAATAACTCTATTAGATCTTCAATTTGTATATTACCCTCTTATACTATTTTATGTGTACATTTACCACTGCCTCAGTATCAACATAGCAAAAAAATTTGAAGCTTTTGAAAAATAATTAAAGGCAAGCTCTGTGTATAAATTATCTTCAAAAAAGTAAACTAAAAAAAAAAAAGAATTATAAATAAAAGATGTGAATATCTCTGGGCCCAAATATCATGCAAACTTCAACTACATAACTAGGTAACATAAGAAAAATCTAAATCAAAACTAAAATGAAGGAATGAAAGTAAAAAGTTAAAGTTAAATAATTCTCAATAACAACTAAATAGATCTGAAATGGACTTTAAAAGAGGTGGTCAAAATACAACTTTTTCACGAAAAAATAAAATTAAAAGGCAGTGTTCTTAGGAGATGGGGGTTTATTTTTACAAAAAGGGCAAGGAGGGCTCATTTATAGGGATCAAAGGACAGGCGAGATGGGCCAGCCTTCTAAAACCATAGGTCTGTCCAGGGCAAATTTACCACCATTTAGCGGTACCTTCACAAATTCAACTTCAGGAAAAAAGGTAGTTTCACAAAATGCTTTCCAAAAGAAAAGTTCTAAGATTCTTCTCCCTGTCTCTTAAAATTTTGTTTTGTGTTCCCAGTAAGAAACTATAAATCCCGGGTTAATTAAGCATATACGAATAGGTAGCATGTGCTTGGTCAGATAGTGTGGTGTGGCCAGTCACCTACGCCCTAATTACAGCAAAAAAATTTTTGAAAAATTAAACGGCGAGGCGCTAACTTGGTAAACTTTACAAGAAGTTGAAAATCAAACATTGTTCTAAATTTACTCTAACAGACCTTTATTTTTTTATGAAACATTTTTTTTTTCTGTGCAACTTTTTTCTCCGCGCAACTTTTTTCTATGACTCTGCGGAAAATGTTTTTATAATGAAAATAACTTTTAGTGAAAGTACTGTTAAATGCATGTTTTTTTTTAAAAAAAAAATTCAAGTTGAAATTTAACAATGGACAGTGATTTTTAAATTAAGATACAATTTTGAGTCCAAAATTTTACAATAGCAAAATTATTTTTCATGTATGGGGAACAATATATAAAAATTTACTAGTAGTGACAATTGTTGGAAATATCTTCTTACATTACAATATTTTCGTGTTGATTTTTTAATATAATTTTTTATTTTCACAAATTATGTCTAAATTTTTACAAAATAGGTACCTTTCATAAAAAGCTAGACAGACCTCTGAAAACTGCTTAGAGAGAACACTGCATGAAGTGCTGCAGTTATTTTTTTAGAAAAAATTTCACAAAATAGTGAGGGAGCTGCTTTATGCATTGCTGCATCAGTGCAATACTCCAATTGGAGCATAGAAAAAAAACTTCAGGGTTATTAAATTAGTTATTGTTGTCGTGGGTGTCCCCATATTTATAGCCTATTTTTTCTGCCCCATACTGATAGCTTATCATAACCTTACATTTGTCCCGCCAGTTCTTACTCACAGCTTTTTATATTTCAAACAGTTAAAGAAGCAGTGAGTAAAGAACTTATCTGGACCGAACATTGACCTTTCTTTAAGAAAAGACACAAAGCATGTGGAGTTCAAAAGTGCCGATCCTGCTTACTCGTCGCCAAGCTCGACACAGATTAATGCATATGATGATCAACTATGAAAGGAAAACGCAGTTACCGAGGAAAAAAGAAAGATTGAAAGAGGAAAATGGTAAAAATTAACAGGCCAAAAAACAGTGACCCGATGTCACACACGCTACACTAAAAACTACGAAAAAAAGTAATGACTACATTAGTTTCACTACTTGTAGTGCCCAACTTCTGACTATAAAGACATTGAAATAAAAATATCATACATATCTACATAAAAAGGTTTTTACAGAAATTCTAAATTATTTTAGTTATGATCTTTCAAAATATGCTAACAACCGTCAACAATAGCTTAACCGCTTCCCTGATTATCCCAAGTTAACTCGGTTTATATTGCAAATATTTATTATTCCGAGTAAACTCGGGCATAGCAGAATTCGTCAATACATTTTGTTCTATCACACTTTTATTCGGTCGGAAGCAAAACAAAAAATAATAATAATCTGCTGTGATTGGAAGTTTGTCAATACTTGTTTGGGAATTTTGCTATTTGTGGGACTGCAGACGCCTTTTGCACAATTGTATATACGATGGTTGATGAATGTACATAGAGAAAAGAGGAAGAAAATGGTGTTCATGAGCAAAAGTGAAAGTAATGCAAATGATTTTTCAAATCATGTGAACAAATGCAAAGACTAATATTTAACTTTTTTCATTTGCCCAAGATAATTTAGGATAGTTAGCTGATGTTAAATTAAATATTTTTTACACACACACAAAAAAAAAAAAAAAAAAAAAAAAAATTAAAATTTCAACTTAGAACTTGTGTATTAGGTTTTGTTTTAGTTTCCTGTATTTATTAAGGAAATAAAAAAACATGTTGATTTTTTTCCCAATAAAATTGTTAAGGGAAGCGGTTAAAACTAATGCTGACTCATGCGCGAGTTTCTCAAAGTATTACAAAATAAGCCTGATTTTTTTCATAACACAGTAGACAGTTGTCATTGTAGATTTAAATCGTATGATATGAAATGTACAGATCTTAAATATACTGCATTACAAATTAAAATAAAAGAAAAACTTATTAAAAAACTTCAGGGATCAACTTACATCTCCAGTATAATCATGAGGCACACCTTTATAAACATCGTGTCCATTGGGATGATTTATGACAATGCCAGGAGTGGGATTTCTGTAATTTAAGCATATAAATTAACATTATAATTTATTCATTTTAATATTATTATCTTTTTGACATGCACAATCGAACATTGAATATCTGAATTGTTTTCATCTAAATACTTCAATTGAATGGAGTGAAATAAAATAAATTATCACCTTCTATTTATTAAACTCATGAATTCATTATTTATTCATTTATTTTATGCATGTGAAGTCTTTTATTTTGTTTTTAAACATTATGGCATGCTATAAAACATTTTTGTGTGCGGGGCTCCTGCATGCCATTAAGACAGGCCTGAATACATGGTGAAAACCGACATTCCCTTATTGAAAATCTCATTTTCGAAAAGGGGAAATTAAGACTTTTTTAAAAACACTAAATGAAAAAAGCACCTTTAAGGGCTTTTAAAAAACAAAAATGGAAAATAAGCACCTTTAAGCACTTTTTAAAAATGCTATGCACCATGTTATTAGTTTTTAATTTAGTTAAGTAATTAGAATTTCATCTTAAAATAAATTTTCTGCAATGTTAATTTTTTTTTTCTTCTTATGCTTATTTTTATTACTTTCTTTAATCTGGCAGGATGTTTAGGTGGACGTCATTGCATTGTACAAATGTATTTGGATTTAACCTTGTTGATGTCAAGATTGGTATTTTTTTGTGTTGATTTGAGTAATTGATGTTGATGAGTATAAAAAGTTAAATTTTGAGAATTGCAAGTTTAGTTCTATGATGAAAGAAACTAATGGATAGAATCATGAATGGAATATTTGTTCAGAAGAGTTTTTATGTATTAATATTTTGGAAGGATTTTCTTATTTTGTTAAGCAATTTTATGCAGAGCAATAACAGATATCTTACCTAGAGGTAATAATTTGATTTATATCTACACTATTTTTCTTTCATTAATACTTGTAAATTAACTTATACTGACAATTTTTTAGGGTTAAATGCTACTACCCGGTATACTATTAACAAGAAGTATACTGGTAACAAAACTGTTGCCTAGGTTCTAAGATTCGGTATCAGTCTACGCAATTTTTCTGCAAAAATAAGTGCACACTGATGTGGAAATGTTACTTAGGAGCTAAGATTCAATGTAGATCTGAGCCAGTTAACACACATAAAATGTAGTTTTGAGTTTTAAAAAAAACCATGTAATATAGATAAAGTTATACATTTTAGGAATGCAATATTTGATTCCGTTTTGGGATATTGTAAACCCTGTGGCAGAATTTTTTCAGGCTCTCTGCGACTAACTTCCCTAGCACTAATATTTTGATTTAAGGTAATTTAATTTACAACAATTACTAATTTAAAGTAGCATAACCCTTGAGTTTACAGAACAAAGTATAGAATAAAAATTTATAAAAAAATTTTGTTGCAAAAGTAATATTTTTTAATTTTAATATTATAGGTGATATTCTCGCATTTTGTTGGCAGAAAATTGCACTAATTATTTTCTCTTTCAAATTTTGCAATTCATTACTCAAATTAAAATTTTTAAATAAATTAAACGATAATAGATCAGAATTTGTACCTAAATTAAAAATCGTAACATCTGTGCAGAAACTCCTAAAATAGCGATCACAAATCAGGCAAATAAGACTTAAAAAGGTTATAGATACTCAAATAAGTGTATGTAAAATATACTGTTCTTTAAAGGAAAAAAAAATGAAAGAAAAAACATCCTTTCTAGAGCGAACTACCTTTTAAACTTTTGCAATTACTGAATTTTTTATTTTATATTATTAATTTGAAATTCTAGCTGAAGATAGTCATTTTTTTCAAAATCTCAAATGAGAATAGAAAAATCATGATTATTTTTTCCCTCTCTGATGCGCAAGAAAGACATATTTAAAAAAAATTCTGCAGAAAAGAAAAGAAAAAAACCCATTCTGAAAAATTAATGCAGAAAGGAAAATCAAAATTTTTTCCTTCCCAAATTAAAAATCTTTCTACAAAAATTCTTTAACTTTCTGCGACAATGTCGCCGTGTCACTGTAATTCTGCCAATGGGGCCAAAATTGACTGAATATGGAAAAAAATCATTCAAAAAAAAAAAAAAATAGGTGCATAGTGGTAACAAATTAGATCATATAATTATAAGAAATATAAGAATCAATTTATAAAGAGATAAGATACTTATAAGCTTAACTCAAACAAAAGTACTTACTCAGAATTCTGTGCTAAATCATCATACATCAAAACAATTATTCTTTCATCAGGGATGCCGTGTGTGTGCAAAATCTGATATGAATGACAAACATCAGCCTAAAACATCAATAAAACATTTAGAGACATAATTTTTCATTCAATCAATAATTATTGGGAGAAAATTAAATTTTGATCAGATTTCAAAATCTGACATGAATGACAAACATCAGCCTAAAACATTAATAAAACATTTAGAGACATGATTTTTCATTCAATCGATAATTATTGGGGGAAATTATAAATATTGATCAGATTTCAAAATCTGATATGAATGACAAACATCAGCCTAAAACAATAATAAAACATTTAGAGACATGATTTTTTTTATTCAATCGATAATTATTGAGGGAAATAATAAATACTGATCAGATTTCAAAATCTGATATGAATGACAGACATCAGCCTAAAACATTAACAAAAAATTTAGAGACATGATTTTTCATTCAATCGATGATTATTGGGAGAAAATTATAAATATTGATTAGACTTCAAAAGGTGTTGAGAAATAGATTAAATACAGGATATCTGCTACATTTTAGATTTTCAAATTCATGACTTTTCATGACTAATTCCAAGAACTTTTCATGACTTAAAGAAGTTACTACTTTCTCCCAACAAAAACAGAACAATAAATTTAAAAAAGCATTATAATAACATTAACTGAAATGATAGATACTACCAAAACAGCTATACTCTGCATCTTCATATTGATAGAGTTTAAATTTTAAAAAAAAATGGAGTAAAGAGAGAGTTGAAGTAATAAAAATAGCTGAAAAAAATACAAAAGCAAACTTCTTTTTTTTTTGCAGAATTAGATTTTAAAGATACGTTTCTCGTTCATCAGAAGGGAAAGAAATACTCCTGGTTTTTCTGTTCTCATTTCGGAATAAAAAAATTTCGCCAATGACTGGCTTGCTTCAGATAGAATTTTAAATTGAGAAAATAAATATAATAAATAATAATAAAAATTCTGAAACCACAGAAGTTTAAAAGATAATTCGCTCTTGAAACGATATTTTTTCTTTCATTTTTGAAATAACACCATAATTTAAGATCATGATAAAAACATTTTATATTTTAATAAATTATGTGGGTGAGTGGGGATTTCGTTATTCAGATATTCATAACACCGTGAAATTCGGGGGGGGGGGGGTAGCAAATTCCATTTTAAAAATTAGATTTTTTTAAACAAATAGTTAAAATCATGACATATTTCGTTCAATACCGAAATTCATGATTTTCCAGGTGCGCAGATATCCTGTATTTATTAGGAAAAAATTAAATCTTTAATTATAAATATTAATCAGATTTCAAAAGGCGTTGAGAAATAGATTAAATAATAGTAATAATATATTAAATTATAGATATATCTCTATAATATCACTATTCAATAATTGTAACATATTTAACTGCACGAGAGTGGATAATTTTAATTTTACTTGAAATTAAAATTAACAAATATAAACTTTACTTGATGACGATAATTGTTCCATGTATTAGATCCGGCAATTAAAACAGCCCATAGTCTTCCATTTTTAGGTTTTTCAAGATACTCAGGAATCGAGCGGAATGACAATACAACGCTGACACTTAAAACAATTAGTAATGCAGAAAAAATACGCATTTCCATAGTACTTTCAACGGAAAAATAATATTCTTTTAGTGCAGAATAAAACGATAAATGATATGATTCAAAACATTTTTAAACTTTTATAGATAACTTTATCATAAAAGAAGCCTGTTTAAATATCATATAAGCTATCACAGCAGTATTTGTAAACAAAGAAGATCCTCGTGATGATGATAGTGCAAAGTGCAGTTAAACGGACAGAGATAATTTGATTATTTTTATGTTTTATCTGTAATGGTTGTCAGTAATTTCTCAGGAAGTAATGTCCAAAATATGCATTAAATAGAACAATGTATTCATGCTTTGAATAAAAATTATTTTTAGCTTATTAGTATTTTTTCACTGTAACTGTTAATAAATTATTAATTTCAGGAATTCTCGCCTAATTTCTCGCCTCAAGTGTCAAAATATAAAACAAAAGGGGTTTAAAAACGTATTAGTCTGAAATTTTAAGTGAAGTAGGGATTTTAATCTATTTTTGTTTAATTTATTTACTTGATAAAAGCTTATAATCTTGTATGGCTTATGTAATTAAGTACACAAGCTTGCATTGCTTGCGTATCAATAAATAAATCAACTTAAAAAGTAGTGAAACAAGATTATTAGGATGAAATTTATTTATTTTCTTTTATAATTTATGCTATTTTCTTTAAAATTTATTCAGTGTTTATGTTTAAAAATAGTTTAATATTTTCTTATCTCAGAGTTTTATACTTATAAAGTTTGCTTTTTTATCTGTAACATCTTAATTATTGTATTTTTTTTTTTTTAATTTTATCAATAACTAAAATGTTTATAAAAACACAAAATAGCTTTACAATATATTATGTAAAATCAAGAGCTTTTCTTTTAAGGTGCTACATACTTTCACTCCTTTACAATACTTATTTTTTTAAATAAAATTTATGCATTAATTATACATTTTACTAGCTTATTTTGTTTGTACACATTTAATTGTGAAATGAAAGAATGATGAATTGCAATATATTTTGTTTTAAAAAAATAATAAAAGATATAATTTACTTGATGACGATAATTGTCCCATGTATTAGATCCAGCAACTAGAACAGCCCACAGTTGTCCATTTTCGGGTTTTTCTAGGTGAAATGACAATGCCGTAGTTGCACATGAAATAATAAATAAAGTTGAAAGAATTTGAAACTTCATTTTACAATTTCTTTGTCATAAAAAAGTTTTCTTTCAATGAAGAGTAAACTAATGAATGTGATGCCAACAAGATGTTCTCAAAAATTTATAGAAAAATTTATCATACTGTTTAGATTTAATAGCTGTACAAATATTATGGTTGCATTGTTTAGCACATATTTAGATATCATTAATTGTAAAAAAAAGTTCTCACGTGATAGTGCAAAATTCTGTTCAGTACTGATTACATGGTTTTTTATCTTTTCTTATCCTTGTAAAAACGTGATCAATCAATATGCTGTTACTTACTTTACCTGCAATTGATAACACTACTTATTTCAAAACATGCATGCAATGAGTTGATAATTTAATTTTATCATGTTTGTTATTTTTTATGTTTTCTTTTTAGTTTTCTAAATATTTTAAATAAATTTATTTAACATTTGAACAAGTGTTTGTTTTAATATTATTAATAATTAAATCTGCAAAAAAAAAATTTTTTTGTCTTATTTAATTGATTCCATTTTTATATTAAAGGTTGTTAATTTTGAAAATAAAAGCTCGAAACATAGTCTCACCCACTATCACTTTCTTAATTAATTTTTGTTGGTTAATGTTTATAAATGTTTGTGCACATATTTTAATGTTATTTATGAGGTAGATTTCTAAAGTTTTGTAGAAAAAAAGAAAAGATAGATAAGATTGTACTTTTACCCCTTCTTTCCCAAATGAATATTTAATAAATTGTGAGTTTTTAATTGATATTCAATGTCAAAGTAATTGTAAGGGTTGATTCAATTATACACCATTTGATTATTTTTGCCAGGTTAGATTGTAAGCTATTTTTAATTTCTAATATTCTACAAATATACTTCACTTTTGTCTCTGAGATAAAGTTTCTTTTCTTTAAATAAATGGCGAAAACTAAATATAACCGATACTATTATTTAGTGATAAGTATCATAAGAATAATTTACATTTTGGAAAATAAAGTTTAAAATAGTACCAGGAAATTAAATCTTTGACATCTATTTTTTAAAAAAAAAATTTTTAGTTCGTATTAGTTATTTTGAATCTAACCAATTCTTAAACTCTTTTTATACAGAAATTTTAAATCTGTAATTACAATTCTTTTAAATTAATATTAATTTATAGTAGGTTTGAGTATTCCTACTTTGCAGTATTTAATTTTAAAAATTAGTATGCTGTTTGATATTGTGATTATGATTATTATGTGATTTTTTTGTAAAATTTGTCTGTGTTTAGAAAGTTTGATAATATACTTTGGCAGTTTTTAATAGGCTGCTATATTCCCATGGTTAGAGCATTTGATTTTGGTCTGCCAGGGTTCAATCCTTCATAAGCCAATAAAACCCACCTAGTATATGGGATGTACATGCTCTTAAAATATGTGGAATCATAAGTCCTGTCACTGAGCAGTACCATGGGTACAGGGATCTATGTCTAAATTTCGTAAGTGGCCTCTCGAATGAGTGGTGCTGCCATCTATATAGAGTGTTCTGATCTAAGCGCACTTTCACCTTAGTGGTGCTCTCTTGTCAAGCAAAAGGTTTTCTATTCTTGCTTAATTTTCTAGGACAATGACTGACCAGCTTGGCTTGTCCAAATGTCATTTAAAACAACACTTTCATTCATTAAAGTGTCATTCTTTACTAACTACTCACCCCGTGGCAGAATCGCAGCATTACTGCTACATTGTCGCAGAACATTACAGAGTTATCGCAGAAGGATTTTTCTTTTAAAAAAGTTTACAAAAATTACTTTTCTTTGCTACGGAAATTTACATGAAATACTTGAATCATGAATTTAGATAATCACTTTTTGACACGCTTAATTTACGCCAATAGTATCGTAAATCGATGTAATGTTTTTATAGTATTTTCGGCATTTATGGCTATTGATTTTCAGGTGACTTTTAAATATCCAGATACAGGGTTGGCAAGATTTTGCCACAGGTGGAAAAAACCATGGTAAATACCGGTAAAAACCGTCCTGGCAAAAACAGATTTTTGCCAAGCAAAGTGGCAAAAACCTATATTTTCCAAAATGAGAGGACAAAAACACATTTTTGATACAAAATTATTCCTAAAATTGAAATATATACTATGAATATAAATAATTACAAAAAAATTAACAAAACTATTATTCCATAATTAAATGATAATGTATCATTTTAGTAGTTTAAAACATTATTGATTGGAAAATTTGTGATTATTCTCTTTTTTCCAGTGAAATGAACTTATTTTAAAATTAATACAAATATAATTTAAAGCATAAAATATCTATCAACATGTGTAGTTAATTATTGTACAAATAATAATTTTTNAACCATAATGGGTTTCAAGTATTTTGTAATAATATTTAATCAGCAATTTAGATAATTTGGTTTTTACGAGGTTTTTGCCACTGTCCTGGTAAAAAAACCTTTTTGCCGGCAAAAACTCCAACCCTGTCCAGATATGTTTCAAACAATATGGAAAATTCGAATCATGCATTTGAGTATTAACTTTTTAAGACAATAATTCTATTGAATTGTTGGCAGTTATTGCTATTGATTTCTCCATAATTTTTAAATCCTATATTTTTTATGCGATATTATTTATTACATCAGCCTAATCTTGAAACGAAGTATGAATTGTAGGAGTCAGATTCACTTGATTTCCTCGTTGATAATTTTTTGCCCACGATATTCATGTGACTGTAATCGAGGACACAACTGACCTTGTGGCAGAATTTTTTCCAACATTCTGTGACAATTCTCTCTAGTACTAATACCTTTCTGAGAGAAATTTTTTATAGTAGCAAATATATATGTACTGATTTAAAGTAATAGAAGCACTTTCTTTCTTTTTTTTTATAAAAAAAAAGCCTTCATATGTAGAACGGGAACAGAATATATTTTTTTACTTATAAATGCAAGAATTTTTTTTAAAAAATCTAAATATAAGCGAATGCATATTCTAATATTATTGGCGATAGTCTCCTGTTCTAAAAACAATTTGTATTGTTAATCTTTTTTAAATTTTTGCTATTTGGAAATTACTTTTTATAATACCAATCTGAAATTCTAGCAAGCCAATCATTGCTAAATTTTTTTTTATTTTCAAAAGAAGGTAGAAAAAAGAATCACTCATTTTTTTCCACCTCCAATATGCGAGATAGGCATTTTTTGAATATAATTCTGCAGAAAGATAGAAAAAGTTCTGTCGAAAAAAAAATATTAGAAAAACTCTGCAGACAAAAAAAAAAAAACTTCTTTGCTTCTCAAATAAAGTATCTTTCTGCAGGATCTCTGTAATGTTCTGTACCAATGTCGCTGTACTGCCACGGGGAGTTCTAACGAATTGAAAAGTAACATACTATGTACATTATTGCTTTTGGCAAAGTAATGAACTAATTTATTTAATTTATTTAGTGCTCTGTAAATCAGTGATTTGCTGTTTTGAAGAAATGTGCTTTAAGAAGAGCCTTGCAAACTGTTCAAGCATTAAAGATCTGTACTGCTGCTATGGTATATGTTTATTTTATCATTCTTTTATTTCATGGTGATATTGTTCATTTTTTAAAAGAATTGCAATGTAAGAACTGGATTTTTTAAAACTTTTTTCGATGTTTGATCGAATTTTCTTGTGCACGTCTCTTGATTTCTGAGAAAGTAGGCTATCTTGTAAATAAATCTTAAAAGGATAATAGATCATGTTAAAATACTTAAAAAACATAACAAAGCATCATTGTTTTTCACTCAAACAATGATACAGCAAAGTATGTGAGAGATTTAGATCAGCTCAGATTTAATAGAATTTCTACGTTATGTTAATCTAAATAATATTTTAATTCCAAAAATTCTAAATTTGAAATAAATTAGTTTCACCGTTCCTGAGGTATAGCAATTTAACTATATACAACTTTTTATAATAAATGTAACTTAAAAAAAAAAGAAAGAAATTGATATTTCTTTTCAAAGAAATTGTAACTTCTTTTCAGATAAATTGCTATTTCAATACGTTCAAGAAATCATGTATCTACGCTTAATTAAAATATTTCCATTAATTTTTTTTTTTTAATAAATATATAATTATTGTAAAAGATGTTGAAATAGAGTTCTAGGAATTTATTAAAACTGTATATTTTATGTATGAAATAGGGTGGCTACTAAAATCTGTAACACTTTAAAAAAAGGAGTTAATTTTGATCATTTGGTAAAACAATTGTTCTCTCTCTCTCTCTCTCTCTCTACTCCTATCACAGTGGAAAGTCGCGTATCCGAAATCGTTTGGACTTCCGGAAGTCTGGATATTAGATTTTTCCGTATAATAGACCCAAAGGTAAACAAAGCTTAAAACGATCTGAATCTAATAAGTAAAAAGTAAATAAACATTATTTTTCGGGCAATAATGCTTTAGTATTAGAATGATATCTAATCAATCAAAAACAAAATATTAGAAAAAATAAATATTGCTTAAAATATGGAAAACGAAAAAAAAATTTGACAGTTATGAAAATATTACTCTCCTCAATTTTGAACTAGAACGATGCAAGCAAGAAGGGGAAATTCCCGTCATTCATTAGGGTGGGTAGGTAGAGGAGAAAAATTCTTTTCCTCCTTATTTATCATTCAAGTTGAGGGCAGGGAAGTGACAAATTCTTATTTTCTCTGCCATCATTGGCTATCAATCAAGCATGAAGGCGTGGCATGCTGATTGGGTTTTCTTTATTTTTTCTTGTGTTACTGAAAGTGACTCCTCCTCCACGTTAACGTTTGGTGCGTTTACCCTTTTTCACAGCATTTCTTCTTTCCCTAACACTCTAATGAAAAGGTTCCAAGAAATGCCTCTTTTACTAGCCAGCTGCAATGGAAAGGGGGAAGGGGACTCGCTTGTGCTCGTTTGAAAACAAATCTCCCTCCTTTCCTGGATTCCAGAGGAGGAGCGTCACTATTGATCACTCCACAGTCTTGATAGATCTTCTCTTCCCCTTTCTGGTTATTTATGGGTTCAATGCATAAATCACTAGAAAAGGAAAAAATTTGTCAAAAGACCTCTTTTTTTTTAAGAGGGGGGAAGATGAAGAGATGTTGGTTTATTTTGATTGTTAAAAAATGACCGGGAAAGGGACGTTGCACTATAGTAGCTTCTTCTAAAAGTGCACATAATTTTTGTTTAAAGCAAAATATTAAAGTTTTATTGTTGGTTTGTGAGACTGCACACATGTTTGTGCGATTATATCAATGGTTGCTGAATTTACATAGAAAAAAAAATTAAAAGAAATGGCGTATCTTTTTACTGGAGTTAGGAAAGTATCACTTTGTGTTATCCCCAATTTTAAAACCTATCAGACAAAGACTAATATTTAACTTTTTTCATTTGCCCCTGAGATAAATTGGGATGGTAAACTAAATGTTTTTTTGCACGTAAAAAAATTAAAATTTCAACTTAAAACTCGTGTATTATGTTTTGTTGTAGTTTCTTGTATTAGTGAAAGAAAAAAATATGCTGATTTTTTGCATTTTTTCCCCAAAATGTTGGAAAGGGAAGCGGTTAAGAATTACTTTAAAAAAAATTTCATTGAGCGACTATTATAATTATATATTGTTTACTTTTAAATACTTCATTTATCAATTAGGAAAAGTCAAACGATCATGAAAGTTTTAATGAATGTGAACTCAAAAGTATTTTATGTGTCTTTTTTTTTTTAAGTTAATGATTTATATTATAGCTGCCAATTCTACTGGAGTTAACCAATTTTTCCTGGGTTTTACATATTTTTGAAACCTGGGAAAGTTTCTGTAATAAATTCCTGTCGAAATTGATTTTTTACTTTATTTTTGTCTTGTGTGTTTAAATAAGAACTAATATTTTAAGTAAGTATTACAGCTAAGTATGTCTCGCTTACGTGATCTATTTTTTAATTAACTACAGAATATGTTATACTTATCTTAAAGAAATTCAATACCTATTAGTAATCAAAATTGGCAAGAGCAATGACTGACAAGCTTGGCTTGTCCAAGCGTCATTTTAAACAGCACTTACTACTGATTCAACAACACATACTATTCATTCAAGTGTCATTCTTTACTAACTACTTACTTAATAAAATAAGTTCTTATAATACTCCTTAATATGAAACATTGGAAAAAAAACTGTGATTGTTTTAATTTCTTCATTAAATTTATATTTCTTTCCAATTTTTTCTTCTTAGTTTTTACTTATTTAAAAATAATTTATTAAGTCATCATCATAGTTGGCCAGACAGCCCAATATGAGCCAATGCCTTCCTCTGAAGATTTCTCCATGACGACTTCTGATTTATCTTTGATTTCCAATTCTTTTCAATAATTGCAAGAAGAGCAGCGAAGGTTCAGTGGATGGAGCGTTCGCCTTCCAATAAGGCGAACCGGGTTCGAATCCCAGTCGAGGCGAATTCCGCATCTGGCTTGCACCGACCACAGTGCTGACATGGAATATCCTCAATGGTAGGCGGTTCATGGGTTAGAGTTCCCTTGCCGTAAAGGTAACCGTGGGAGATTCTGGTGGTCTTCCTCTCCATGTAACGCAAATGCTGGGGCACCAAGTAAGGTAAGCCAACCAGTGAAGGAACACTACCCAGTGAAGGAACATTTCATATATATTGATTAAAAATAAGAATTTGAAAGTTTTTCTTTAGATTGATTGGTAACAATAGCTTACTGCCAAACAATCGGAAGTCATCTAGCAATGCTTTGGATTACCTGGTCAAATAGACTTCTCTAGAAAAATTTTTGAATTTGTTATTATTTCTGCAAC